AAATAAAAAGAACGAAGATCCCGGCGGCGATAAAAGTAGCCTGTGCGCTTATGACAATCTGCAGAATTCGTGGCATGATTGCCTCGAACCAGATGAGCATCAAGACTGCCCAACTAAAGCTGCCGTCTGGCTGACCAAACTCTGCGAGGGTTTACCTAATCAACCACAAAAGTCTGGTTCTTTACCGCGCAGCTTTCAGATGATGAATCCAGCTGACTTGAGTCATGTCTCGAAATCGCGTTTTCTTCAGCGAGATGGCAAATCCATGAGCGAGCGCCCGTTTACAATCGCTTCCGACAAGCCTGCTGAAATTAATCTGGAAGATATGGAGAGATATGCATCTACGTGTCAAGGTTCAGCAAGAATAGCCAAATTTCCAACAACTGGATCATCATCGACGTTCTTCTGTTCACTCGACGATGCCTCCTTTACCGATGCGGATTCCGTATCGTCCAGGACAGCCACACTGTCTACCAGCACTTACGTGCATCCGGATCACAAGATTTACAGGGCTAATGGATCGGTTAATAAAGGTGAGTGATTCATGCGATTGCAATCTATTTTCGTGCGGAGAGGCCATGACGCAGAGAATAGCATCTTGTAAATAGCGATTGATTGGCGTACGTTTTCATGAATTTGTTTTTTTCTTATAGTTTCGCACTCGAAAGATATTTATTTTATTCAAATTTTGATTAGATAAATAATTCTTCGTAATTTGAAATACAAATGAGCCGTATATGATTCGATTATACTCACGACTGAACAAGTGCATTAAGCTATGCGTCATGCGAAATGAATCAACCGAAGCGCAATTACAATTTTATGAGTTAAAATCGAAAACTACATGCAAAACGTTAATGATGTTGTATAATCAATTGAAAGTAACGATGACGCAATTTGATCGCAGAATCTAACAATGATGGAACAACAACAACGATGACGATAACAACAGGTTCGAGTCTTCGAAATGTTTTCTCAAGAGCCAGTAGTCGCATACAGAGCTTGCGATCAAGTCAAAGTACTGAGACTTTGGACTGCAGCGAAGAGTTCGAGCGCAGCCGTTACTTCCGTTCGTTCAGCAAACGCAACAAGCACAAGAACTCCATTAAATCGTCATCGCGTGACGTTTCCGATGCTGAAGATGCTGTGGCAAGTATTGTCGCGACAGGCAATAATGGCGTGAGAGTTCACCTCGAGGTGCCATACCACCGTCAAGGTAGTCCTAGCTTAGGTGCACGAATAGCACAATCTGACTATGCCGATCCCAGCGTCCTCTTCTCGGAGAATCGAAAAACTTTACTGAAAGCCGAGAGTAGCTGCCCGATGTATAGTCAACATGAACGGGAAAAGGTGGTCGAAAACGAGCTGGATAGTTTTTATGAAAAGAGTTTCGAGACCATTGAGAATTACGCGGAGACGGAGGAAGCTTTTCGAGATAGTGCAATATTCAGCGACGGCGATTCCGCTGCCGAAGCTGCTCCAACCAAGAAGGTTCCACCTCCCATTCCTATGAAGAAGAAAATCCGCAAACCTGTTGTTACGCAGAAACCTGCGCATCTCAAATTGCGCGCTAGAATCGCTAGAGTATCACCTACCAAGGAGAAGCCAACAGAGGATGATGTATCGGCAGGTCAAAGTCAAATCGGCTGGGTAAAAAAGATGGTCGGCCAGTTACAGGCACAAGTTGATGTGTGAAAACTTCCACCTGTGACTGTGATTGGGAAGTTTCTAGGCGCGACTCCAGTGCGAGTCACGAATTTTTTTTTTTTTTTCGTTGTAGTTTTATTAGGTCTTATAGATTGAATGGGCGTACAGAAATGAAGAATTTAAATTATTTAATGACTCGATTATTTTTTTTTTTTTTTTTTTTCACTCTTTTTGTAAAGTAATTTGTGATAAAAAAGAATTGTTTCGTTTGATTTTTTTTAACTTCAATAACGATGATCTCAAAGATTTCATGCTAAATTTATCATTCAACTGTTCTTTCCATATAAAGAGTTTTGAAATGAAGGTTGTACAGCTGAGATACTATTATACGAGTAAGATAGCACTTTTGCAAAACTACGATTGTTCCGTCGATAATAAAAAAATAGCTATTACTGCCAAAATTTGAATAATGCAAACTACTCTTAATGTCAATTTCATTGATAAATTGTATAGATATCTACTTAATATGCAAATTTATTGAAGAGAAAACGTTTTCAAATAACTGAGTATACATATCTTTAGATCGCGTTGAATTGATGTGTTTGTTATAGCATAATGACTATTTAAAAGGGATGTTCAACTCTGTATTGTATAGAAGGAATTTACGAGCCAAAATTTGTTAATTAATACATAGAAAAATTTGTACTCACAAACTCGCGATAAGGCTGACATTTCTTGCTATTATTAGATTATCATTTATACAATGGTGCAAAAAAACCTCGATGCGTTCATGCTGATGCGATTTAAATTATTACAATGCTGGAATTGAAGAGAAATGACGGGACAAGTTGGCCATAATGTCGTGCGATAAATAAACTTTATGCATTTTTTACTACTATAGCTTTAGTCTCATTGCAAATAATTTTTCGAGTCTTTTTAAATCTACTGTTAAAAACTGTGTTATAGTCTAAACTTGCATAAGGCAAAGTACAAGTATTTTATAATTATCAAGCGTTACAGAGTAGTATGAAAATAATGAGAAGGATTTTCTGACATCGATGAAAAACCAGTTTAAGATTGAACTGAATTTCGCGGACACAGATCTCCATCCATTTTCAACTAATTTTTATGGATTTTCGTAGGTTTATTGTACATTTTTAATCGAATTTACAGTGAAAATGCTCGTATCGAGTTAAAGATAATAATAAATGTACTTTTACTGATAAATTACTTTTTTTCCATATTTATTTAATATCCTACATATCTTTTTCTAATTAAACAACATATCAGAAAATAAGAGAACAAGTAAAATGAAGATAATTTTTAGAAACAAGTTTTATTACGAGAAGTTTCTCTATGTACAGAAACATTGGCTAGTCGCTGTTACACATGTAAGCAAAATTATGCTAATCCATAATATCGCGACAATTTTCAATAATACAAGAATATCATGCATAATAATCACGATAATAAATAGATTCAATACTGTCCTATAATTGAATAAATTCCTATATTTTTTTCCGTTTTGAGTAAAAGAAGACAAGTTAAAATAATTAATTAATTAATTGTAATAATAATAGTGACGAAAAACAAGGGTAAAGTAAAAACAGGCGAAACAGCCGAAGACCCGAAAGCAGTGACGCTTCGTTATACACATTATGTACAACTGTGCTGGCAATAATTGCTTGCCATCCATTAAAACACTTCTCATAACATGATTTCTCTTTCTCTCCTAAATCTAAGTACTTTGCTAATCTCGACTTTCTATATTTTCAATTCGCTCTCTTGACTTCCAGTTTTCTTGCAACAGTCGAATTGTGTTACGCGACTCGAGTTGCACGTTTACGAAGAATAGAACACATCTCTTTAGCTACCTCCGCTCGGATGTTCGCCAAATTCATAAATCACATTCAACCATTATTTTCTGTCTCATTTGTGTAATTATATATATCTTTTTAGTAGATTTTCCCATCAAAATTATGTTATCAAAATATAGTTGGAGATAACTTTGATTCTAAAATTTAAAGATTGTCAAAGTGTAACACAATTAATTTTAAAGCAATTTTTACATGATTAAGAATTGTTAATTAAAGAACCTCATCTTTGTGTTAAATTCTAAAATTATTCTTGGAATTGAAATTCAACTCTATCCGAGCGTCTAAATATATAATTTTCTCTTTTTTGCTCTACGACTTTACTTCTTGTAGAACTTGAAAAAACAGCTTAAAGCTCAATCGTCTCCATAGAAGAAAGATAAAACTTAGCATCCATTAGAATTCGTAAAAGGTTTAAAATTATTCTACAGAGACGAAAATTTATTTTTATGATCGTTGATTCCCAAGTTCACTAGGGCACTTGACTTATTGCCCGAATAATAAAATATCATTTGGTATGATTGTGCGGAGACATAGCCGTATTGGTTTTGTTTCTCTTTTGTGGTCGATGCTGACAGGTACTTTTTTATCGCTGTGCTACTGTTTTCTACTTTATCTATAGGATATCTATCGTCTAAAATTTTTATTTCCTTGTTATCAATCGTTTTACCTGCATATATCGTTTTTTTTAAATCACTTTTATATACATTCTATTCGAATCTATAATAGACTCTTTTAACTGTTGAGTTTATTTTGAATTACCAAAGTCCCATAGACTTTAATTTCGCAATGAAACTTTTCTTAATAATTGCTTCAGTTGCTTTGTTGATTTTTGTTTACTATGATAATTTATCATTTTTTATAATATTTTTATTAATATGGCATTATGTTTTTGAAAGAGACTATATTGAACGTTATATTATTGTCGGATGTTTGTGCCGCAAAAATTCACTGCGAAATTAAAGATGCAATAATCACACAAACCACAATACAAATGGTTGCACTCTTGTCGATATGTCGGCGCTCTATGCCCTTTTACGAATTTCCATCTACGTAAAGAGGGAGGAAGACAAATGACTGACAAAACTTTCATGCTGTGCCCTCGAAACAAAAATTAAATTCGTTCTAATATGTATTTTCCACGGACTTTTTTTATTATCCGATCATACCAATCAAACGAATAGTCCTACCAGCTTCGGCGCTTCGTCGCAAGAATTAATCAAAAGTATATGATACCCGAGGAATGCAAAAGCTTTGATCTAGCTCAAAAGCTAGATTTGGAGTATTTTCTTCTTTTTGTTTTTGCTGGGCGATTTTCGTAGCATCTACATAACCGCAATTAATACTTACAAGTTGCTGCATCAACGCAGTGAAGAACGAAAAAAAACCCCAACATTTATATATATATATATATATATATATATATATATATATATATATATATATATATATATATATATATATATATAAACAGTCTACTCGTTGCAGTCTGCTGCGATTTATGTATCATTTCGAAAGCTCGCGCGCTCAGCTTTCGAACAAATTGATTTTTAATAGCTTGCTTCATGTCCCGCAAGGATGTAGAGATCGGCGCCTTCGCTCTCATTTAACGTGCCTGTGTGCATCAAATGACTTTCAAGCATGACGACTCTACACAAATAAAATTAGACACAATATAGTAGGAACGTTTAAAGTTGTATAAGTAATGGAATTGTCGATAGTTGTAGAATAACTCACTTGTCGGAACCTAGTAGGCGGTAGGTTCGGCTTGGATCACTTATCTCTTGCGTAATCTCACCGTTCTTAAAGCTACGACCTTGCATTCCGTGCTTATGAAAGGCAAGCACGCTATCCGGCAATACGACTGCAATCGAAAAGCATCGACATTGTCATGACATAGTGACCATGCAAATCAGTAAATCAGCAATTTAGCTGTGGACAACATCTTATAGTTTTCACTTACTTATCGATTCGATTTTGAAGTCGAATTGAAGCTCCGATATTTGTTTTTTACTGGTCCTCAGTTTCCCACTTAACGTTACAATTTTCATCCATTCTATAACAAAGACAAGCAACAACAACAAATTATACTCAAATTCGTGTCAGCCAACTAGTAATTAAGAATAATAAAAAAGCACGACAATCAACTTACTGTCGTAACAAACGAGAATGGCATCTTTCTCGAGCTGCGCTACACTAACAACTTGAAGAGTTTCTCTTCGTGGAATGACTGTTGCTACAATTAGAAAAATAATGACGATCATTAATAATTATCTCTCTAGAATCGAATACATATAATGAAATTAGAAAACTGCGATCAATTAAAAAGGGAGAAAAATATTATACCAGAGCCGTCCATTTCCTCGAGTTCGTCGCTATGGAACCAGCTCGCTCCGGAATTCATATTAATAAGATCAAGCTTCAATTTGTTTTGATGATAGGCCTGCTTGACCGAGACACACACCATTGGATATTCCATTTCGGGTGTGATAATCATCTCGAAGACGACGTTAAGCGGCGACGGCAACGAGCACTCGAAATACTTGAGTAGCATGAATTTATTCAGTGGATCGTACCACTGCATTAGGAATATACCAGCCGGCATTGCTCCACATAAATACTTGTATCTACAAAGATTCGAACTTGGTAATGTTAATAATCTACGATCGGCAAAGATAATGAATCAAATATAATGTACCCGTTATATGGGTTTCGACCAACGCAACACTTGGTGCAGCCCTTGGTGTCTGGCACTCGGGTGGTGAGAGCGAATTTCCTTGGCACAAGTCGCTCGGGTATCTTGTTCATGGGCAGCGAGAACCTATGTGTCTGCTTGCTGTGCATCGCCAGCAGGTCGTGCCTGTAGAGCTGCGGTGTTTTACCTTGACATATTGACAACCTTCGATTAATCTTACGGAACTTTCATTTTTGTGATAAAGGGCATTGTATCACTGATTACCTGACAACGACATAAGAACGTCTTTTATGACGTACATCCATATCGTTCGCCTTGGATACAGTTGATCTATAGCCGTTTCGTGAAGCTCATTCAGATTTAAATTGTAAATGCCTTCCTCGGCGGCGATAAGCAGATGCTGGTCTCGCGTGTCTGGATGAATCCAACTGGCCGTGCAATGTATTCTCAGAGGACAGCCGTTGAACACCTTGGAGAAACATGCTCCCATGTGAACTTTTGGCGTTGGTGGCAAGCCATTGCTGATCGGTCTTGGCGGCGTATGCCTCTTACGATCCCTTCTTCGCGGTGGCACTGGTGGTGTGTCCGACAAAAGATCTGGTCCTACTCCATCGTCACCATTGTCCGACGAGTCGTTTTCGCCTGAAAAAAAATTGGCGTTATGGATTTGCGTGAAAAATAACATTGGAAGTGTATTTTTCTTTCAAATTTCGTCTTGATGCTGTTATGTTCATCGGTGTTGCAAGATATACTTCCTTTGAAAAGCTGCATGCTCGTGTAGGTTTTCTTTTTGTTTGATATACAATGTGATGATTATAAATACTCCGTGCCATTTGTATTCGTTAATGTAAGAAAATATTGTTTATTGATGGTGTTTTCTTAGACATATTCATTTGAAAGTTCCTCGAAAAATATTATATGTTTCAATGACAATGCATTCTGTTAATACTATTCTACTTTGCGTATTTTCATAGGAAAAAAATGCAATAGCCATGCAAGCTACATACGATTAGTATATATATATACACTACAGCAAACTACAAAAAAGTTAATGGAAGACAAAAGCCGTGGAGCTTATATCCACACCTAATACACGTGCTCGGTTTACCATTAGACTGATGGGGAGATAGATCACGACGTTTGGTACTGTCGGATAATGAACGCTGTCTCTGCCCAGTCTCCAGCATCATTGACAATGATGTGCCTGCTTGTAGAGTCGCTGAGTTTCCAGACAACTCTTCCATCGAGCTGTGCAGTCGTCGAGGACTCGTCGTTTGCGACCCTGAGATTTAGGCCGTCTTACTCGTTTTTATACACACTCACCACAACGTTTTTTTTTTCTTTACTTAATACTTACTGCATAGTGCTCTGTTATGATACTAATTACTCTCCAAAAAATTCATTTATAATTTTAAGTTTGGCTACAATGCAAGAGATAATAGCTATTCGGTAAATGAATCAACTTTGAATAATAAAAAATTATAACTGTAATAATACAGATTCTCATTATTTTTAGGATTTTACATCTGTTTTAAGTAATTTTGATTTTGTTTTTGAGAAATGATTTAAAACTTTCTAAAATGACAAGTTTAATTATGATCTCTTGGAGTTGAGCCAGCATTTATAAGTAAACGAAAGCTTTTTATTGTAACGGTCATTTAAACAAATGCCCTTGGCTCCCAATAATGTTTAATACCACTATGTATATACATCACAATTTTGTACAAATACTCTTACGAATCCAATAACCATCAACATTTCCAAGCTTACCTATGGATTATGTAAAACGAATAGTTCAAAATTTCCATCTACCATTCCCCTCATACTCCTATAACGTTTTTTTACAGGAATTTACAAAAGCGTCGATTGCAAAAACACTCTACAAGCTACTAACACTTTCTTTCTTTTGTTCAATTACCAAGAAACTAAGTACGTATTTGTTAAATCAACCGTACCTTGCGAATTGCCATAGAAGTTTCGATGAATTTCGCAGTCGTTGGACGTCTCGCCTAGAGGTAACGTTGCTCTGAAAATAAAAGAAACATCAACTTATTCATCAGGTTATTCATACATGAGTTTATTCATGTAAAATTAATAATGTGTTTTCTAAAAGTAAACACAAATATGCTTAAACGAGCGAAATTAAACGATTAGTTTTAAAAGTATAGTCTTGTAAAAGACTTTACTTAAAATATATTGGATGGCAAAAAATAAATATCAAAAAATACAAGACTCTAAGATCTATGACATTTTTTCTCGTTTTCTTTTAAGCATATATATTAATCGAGCTTCGTTGGGAACATTTTTAATGATTTCGCTTTTCTACTTACTGCAACGAATACAGCTGGTCACAATGCCCGGCAATTGCATTTCCCCTGAACACACGAAAGTATCTATTTTTACTCTATTCTTGAATATTATTTTTCTTCCAGCCATGATTTTCAACTATTTTATATTCACATATTTATTAATGAACAGACTGGAAATGATTCCACAATTTTTGTTCTTTCATACGCTCTGTTACAGGGATGTCAATTTAATTATTAACAAATCTTTAAAATTCAAATTTATGTGCATTTATACAATTTTACAACATTAAAGGAGTTCCGTTGAAATAAAAGAGAATATATGAGGTATTTAGGTAAAATAACATTAGTTTCTAGTCTTTTTTCCTTTTAAATACCGAAGCTCGACACTTATTAAACTGATTAGACATATATTTCATTAGGAACATATGCAGGTAAAAATATATTTACTTAAATTAATTAACATTATAGTGAGTTATAACATCTTAGGGTCAAGCAAAGGCTGAAGCTTCCAGTGCGACGATTACTTCGAGACAAGCAGAAAAGAAAGCAATCGATATTCATGCAAACATAAACAATGATGAAAATAAAATCGATGAATCTCGAAAATTCCATGCTAAATATGTAATAAATTTGACATAAAAAATCTTACGTCTACCGATGAAAAAACAGATGAACAAAAACGGACCAAGACTGGAATACAATATTAGACAAAAACACAGACAGAACAAAAAAAATAAAAAAAACAAAAAGAATGATGTGCATTAAATTACTTTAAGAAGCGTGATGCGGCAGTGTATGTTAAAGTTAAGTCTGTGCGATAGCGTGTGCGAGGGAAAAGGTTACCTGCCGATACCTTAGCAACAACTCCTCGTCAATGTACTGCAATAGACTCCTGTAGGGAGAAACGATTACAATTACAAAATCATTCGAACATAAAAAAAACATCGATCCTGCGTTAAAAATCACTGAATTATTTGTAAAAAATGTTAATTCAAATCAAAATTAATCTGGAAATAAATATTTTATAAAAAACCAAAATACTTACTTTGAATGTAAAATAAAAATTGTAAGTATAAAATACATAACAAAAGATACTACTTTAATGTAACTAAATTGTACAAGAAAATTAACGAATAAAAATACAATGGCAATCAGCAAATAATATCATGCGGTTTTTTTCATTTTACCATGCAAAAGAAAATGAAAATGTGCACAATGTAAACGAAGTGTTTTTATGGTCAATGCTCAGCATGTATCAAATCTTTCATTCTATTATGCTATTAGATTAGAATTGATAATTCTTTTATTTCGTTTTTTTATTACTTCAAACTTATTTTAGTCATTTCAATTATTTTTTCCTTCACCACTGCACAATGCTTTACCTGAGACTCATACGAAAGATCTCCGTGCCAGTTTTGCTTCTGTGTTTGAATTTACTATCTGCTTCGACTCTACAAAGTTCACAAGAAGACGTTTGTCTTGAAAAATAACCGACACCGTTACAATACGACAAAAACAAAAAGAATGTCAAATTTTCTATCATCACAACTTTCACAGATCATCTACGAATTGGTTCCAAAAATCGAATTTACGATACCGCGTAAAAGAAATGAAGAGGAAAAAAGCGTATCTACAAGATTGAAATGAATGTTGAGCTTATATAAATGAAAGCTTGAAGCGTAAGATAGAAGTCGAACGAAGCCTCAGCCCTTCCCAAGAAATGATTCCTGTTTCGGCAATCGCATCGTTTTACGAATCGTAAACTATCGTAAATGTTGAGAGTACACTCACTTTTCTTGGCCATCTTCGAAAACAGATCCTATTCCGCTTTCTTGATGTGCATCACAGTTATTTGCAGTCTAAAATCATCATTACCATTACTCAGTACTACACAATCAGAGTGTTTGGAAAAATTATGAACTACTTGTACCTTATCGTTATTCATAATATCTATGAAATCCCACGTAGCCGGAGCTTGCCAAGGCGATGATGAATCTCTCTGCAACGTTCCATCGTCTAAATTCAATCGATCTACACAAGAACGAAGCAAAATCAATCATCCGTACGTTTACGTTGACATTTCGTTGATTGGATAACAATAAATCCTCACCATCGCTGTCTAATTGTGAGATAGGACTCTTTGGTCTCGCTTTCACTGTATGCCTCGAGGCGATTCTTTGCGGCACGTTAGCTACGTGTCCATCTTCGTCAGGCTCTAATTCCGTAAACGCATGGCTAAAGTTGGACACTTTTTCTAATAACTCTACAGCAAGACGTTTGCTCATTTCGCTTTGGAAGAACGCATGCTAAATGACACAATAAGTAGAAGAAAACACTATAAATTGAGATAGTTGCGATGCGTAGAAAGAAACCTTTTATCGTTACTCACCTGTAAAAGTTTATCTGCCGTAGGCCTCTTTTTAGGATTTTTCGTCAAGGCAATTTTAACGAAATTGTGAAACGTCGGACTCCATTTGTCGCGATCTTTCAGCGTGGGAGGCTTAAATCCAGATTTTGACATTAAAAATAATGCTCTCATTGGGTGGAGATCAAACATTGGAGGCTGTAGTTCTGCTAATTCTATTGCAGTAATACCTATTGCCCAGATATCACAGAGTTGATTGTAACCTCCTTTTCTCTCAACTGCTGCTACCTGAATTTCAACAATTTGTTAAAGATTAAGTTTTTACTTGTAAAAAGAGAATAAATTCAGACACAACTCTGTGTTACCTCTGGAGCCATCCAGTAAGGTGTGCCAATAAAACTTTTTCTTTTATTTATTGTTGCTGTGATTTGCGCTGATACTCCAAAATCAGCAAGCTTTACATCGCCTGATTCCGTGAGTAAAATATTAGCTCCTTTAATGTCTCGATGCATTTTACCCATGCCATGGAGATAGGCAAGACCAAGTAATGTCTCTCGACACATGTATGCTATTTGAATTTCTGTCAATGGACCAGTAACTGCAAAGCAAAACAAAATATAATGGTTACTCATCCTTATTTTCTACATTCCTGGTGTTTAGCAAGACTTACTGTGATAAATATCTTGGAGAGATCCACCACCACAGTATTCCATGCAAATCCACAGCTTGTCCCTCCTGAGGTAGCTGCCATAGTAAGCAATGATATTGGAGTGCCTGCAGTCCTTCATCATTAGGATCTCTTGTTGTATTATCGCAAAATCGTCACCTATAAGCAAAATAATAACACTTATTGCTGTTGGAATCAACTTATGGATTATTCCAGCAAAAAAGCACTGCATAGTAGTGTGAACACTTACCAGGTTCAAGTTTGATGACCTTGATAGCAGCCAAATCATTCATAGAGAGCCTCTTGGCCTGTGGGAATAGAGAGCAAAGAACAATTAACCAAGCAACTTCCTAGGTGTTCTGCTTAACAAGACAAAGCTTTCCCATAAAAAAGTGACTTTTCACTCAATTAGAACTGCTCACAATGAAAGCTAACGTGACAGTAACTGTAAGTTGTTCTCTATCGGAACGATTGAAAAAAAAGGGAACGAATTTGTTAATCAAGTAGTTCTGTTGTATCGCTTAAATCTTGCAGTTGATAAATGAAAAGAATAACAATAAATAAAAGCGTCACAGTGATAGGTAGGGCACACGTTTACGGACACACATGTGGTAACGACTCACTTTGTAAACATCGCCATAGGTGCCACTACCAATACGTTGGATCAGCTCGTATTCATCCTGAGGATTACGCCTGCTGATGTCGCTGGACAGGGCGTTCGCGTTAACGCCCGCCATTGCTTTACGTTTCCGTCGTTCAGGAAAAGACCTTTTAGCGGCTTTTCTAGCGCTCTATAGCTTCACTCGTCCAACATTCTACACATCGTCAGGGCACTCGATAGCTGCTCCACGATGTGCTGCCATTGACACGTTTATTTATTTATCGACGCCATTTTCGCATGTTCGAGTAGCAGCAGCGCTGTGCTGCTTTTTTCTCATTCAGAGAGCGCACAGATAGACAGAGAGCGAGAGAAGAGTTACCACACTCTACTCGACTGGACGACTAGTTTTGCCACTCGACTACTACTGCTACTGAGCTGCTGTTGCTACGATTGAGCACTTGCATGTTGGCAAAGACTAAAAGTGTGCAGTTGCAAGACTGAACGAGTGAGTGAGTGAGCGAGAGAGAGAGAGCGAGAGAAAAGGTGGGTGGGGGCAAAAAGACTTTATCTAATCTCCATGGGTGGGAGAGATTATAATCAGACAACGACTCTGAAGTCAGTCGACAGCGAGAAATCGGATTAAATCGACCTGTATTAACAATAGTAAAATTCATTTAAAATTTCACAATTTAGTTTTTGTTAATAAAAAATCCCAAAAATCGAACACTCTTTGATCAGTAGAAATTGAAATTGCGTAGCGTTTTTTTCAGTTTTTATAGAAATGAATGTGTTGAATTATCGGCAAACATTAGGCTTTTTATCCAAGTAAAATATTACAATCATTCGTTATAGAAATAAATAATATATTTTATTTACAACGATACGCACCTGAAAGATCAGTCGGTAACATAGATCTACACTTCAGTAAGACAAAACATATACATAATCACATATAATACATGATTCTTATAAGCTTTCAAGTGTAGTGGTAACGATGCGTATTGCGTGTGCAAGTAGGCGTGAAATATCTGAAGTCTATAAGTGGAAATCTATAACTTTTGTTACCATGCATCACTCATGCCGTCTCGCGGTATGTTAAAGAGCTATACTAGTCCAAATTGAAAACGTTCAGTCTCAAGTCTCAACTGTCAACTGTGCACATTTTAAAATTAGATAGAGGCTGCGGCTGCATCTTCGAAGTTTTCTTATTTGTAGCAAGTTGACGATACATCTATAGGTAAGCTTTCTAAGAAAGCTGTTGTTTCAATTATAATGGCATTAAATGCAATCACTCATAATTAAACAGTAACTTTATCTGCAAAGACATCGTTTTAGACAGTAATTGCCAATGTGACTTTTTTGAAAATTTTATTGACTTGTTTTTTGGGCATATCCCCTGTACAATAAACCCAGAAAATGTTAACTGAAAGGTATTGAATTGTCTGTAGGTATGTAGTCCTTTTTCTGATGTATCTCTTTTAGCATCAATTAATTTAAATATCTTAACATAGTATTGCGAAATTTATTGAAAACATTAAATGTAAAATCTGATTAAATGTCATTTATTGCGTTTTTATAATCTTATTGTAAGTTTAAGTAGCGCGTCTTTTCGTAAAATCCTAGTAATCAATTCGCTTCTTTTTTATTGATTAATTGATTATTGGTGAGTTTATAGATTATGAACAGAGATTCGAAGGTACTTTTAATCTCTGATTATGAATAGTATTTGTGTAATTGCATTTTAAACAACGGCTTTATGTAAAACAATAGTTTCTTGTAAATAAAATTTGATTTAATAATTCTACAGTGAAAATGGGTAGCTCCAACAAAGCTGAGATATTAAGAAACAACTTTTTTAAAACTGCTGAATGTATTGTAACTCATTTTGGTGTGTATTTAAATTATTTTAGGTTAAATATAAAAAAAGTCTTCTTTATAAATTAAGTCGTTATTTTCCAATCGTTTTCGCAGATGACGACAAATGCAAAAGAGATGAGACCTTAGGGAATATGGAAAATATTATAGGGAAAATTTGTGGATTTGATGACAAGATGAAGAGAGTTACTACAGTTCTGAAAGAGATGAAGAATAGCATTGATGATAATGACAATCAGAACCAGATTAAAGAATCATGGACAGTAAGTTTTGAAATTGATTGCTTAAATAATATTCAAGAAATAGATTTTGATGCAATGATTGATATGTCTACAGAGCTGCAAACAAACATTACTGAATTATGAACCAGATGTGTCTAATCTTCCAATTTTTATGGAGTATCGTCAACAAGTAAAAGAAATAGTAAACAGTAAGTTAGAATATTGTTTGTATTAATAAGAATTGTTCAGCATTTTAATTTGCATTCATCAATGAAAGATATGGATGGTACTGAAAAAATGCCTCTTGGTGACGATGATATCGAAATGACACAAGAACAAGTCAATATTATCGATGCATTCTCAAAGAAACGAATGACTAATCCTGTAAAAAATATGCAATGTGGTCACGTTTATGATCGAGAAACTGTTATTGATGTTCTCAAGATGAATAAGAATACAAGGTACATTCAAATTCTTCTATTGTTTGATTGTCCTATTTTAATTATGAAATTGTCTTATTTTTAAAATAGATGTCCAGTTGTTGGATGCAAGAACAGAGAATACATTCGTTTAGAAGAATTAGTTACTGATATTAAAACAAGAAAATATTTGCATGACAATCCAACATAATTTTTGTTATATATTATATTATTTTAAGTTATTACATTACATATACAAGAGAATTATATAAATTAGTTTTTATACTTGAAACTAAAATGTAAACAGTTATACTATAAGTAATTCGAGATTACCTAAATATTCATCAGAGAATAGCATTATTTCAAGATATATTTTGTAGATGTCGATTTCTTGATGAATAATAAATGTTCTTAAGACATACAGTCTTATTTTTTGTATTCAGTAAATATGCTAGCTCGAAGAAAACTACATTTTTTTGGCTAAACAATGCTAATTTTACCACGATACCGATTAGGAATTGAACAATTAAAATTTCTTGAACCAACGAAGATAGACGCTCAAGCTAGAACCTATTGCTCGTTACCGCTTTAGTCAGTCACACGTTTGCGTTCGACTATACGAACGATAAAAATATTGATTTGAATAAGTCGTTTACAATATAGTTGTGAAGAAATCGTCGGTTATCGCCTTATAATGTGGCAAAGTTGAGAGTAGGGAATGCGGCTGACATTACAATCCGTTTGAGATTGCTGTTCTCATTGGCTGTAATTTTGAATCTGTTTTTTTTGCGTGACTTCCACGCACGAGAATCGAATGTCAATGCTTAGTGAGGCCAGGGAGGTTGATTAGAGTGTCGCACAACATAATTTCAATCGGTCACGACAAATTCAACAATGCTGCGCGCTGCCAGGATCAAGGTATACTGTTTCTTGTTTCTCCTATTCGGATCGTATAAAATTGATTCGTGTCAGCAGTGTCAACTTTTCTATTAATCTACGCCGGTGTTAATTGTTTATTTTACTCGTTCGAGTACAAGACGCATAACTGCCTCTTCGTTTTCATTTCGTCTATTTGTCGCCTAAAATTGCGCCATCCAACATAAATCACGATCAGCAGTTCAAACGCGCAGTTGTTCAAGCGTAAAATAAAACGAGATACTTGTTGACGCTTTGAAAGAGTAAATGTCGACAGTTGATGAAATGGCATCACACTGGAGCTGGTCAACGAAGGAAGTCGGCGACAGAAGCGATCTCCAATAAGAAACCCGCGCATGGAAAGGTCATCTTGCCCGAGAGCGCCGAGGTCGTAATCGTGGGTGAGTTTAATCTTGCAAGAAAGAAGGAAAACGCTAACATGGCGATGTTTTTGCTAGTGATCTCCAGCTCTTGAACTCGATATCATTATGCACGTTTTATCGCGCTTACACGAGATAATTACTTGGCTAGCGGTCAATTCGTGTATAATAGTGTTTTTGACTGGAGGTTTAAGTTGGATTAGATTTGGAACGCTTACCTCGGTGGTACGAGCGAAATGCCAATTATACGAAAAGATAAAGAAGAGTAAGATCTGCCCATTGGACATTTCAATATTCATAATATACGATTAGTCAACTTATTGCTACTTACTAACGGCAAATTTAACATATCCCTGATACACATGCACATAGATAGCATTCGCTTTGAAATGCTGTTAGAGATAAGTTACGAAATGTCGTTCTCCTACTGCGTAACGTAAGCAGGAGCCGGTTCGATCCAACTGATCCAACCGAGAGGAAACGAAAGGATAAAAATATCTGGTAAAGGTGGCGGAGCAGCAGGTTGCAGCGCTCTGTACCAGCTGTCAAAGCGAGGCATCCGAGCGATCTTGCTCGAGAGCTCGAAGCTGACAGCTGGCACGACATGGCACACGGCGGGTATGTGTTGGAGCCTGCGACCGAGCGAGACGGAAATCGAGCTGCTGCGCGCCACCCGGTCCACGCTGGCCGAGCTCGAGCGCGAGACCGGCGAGAACGCCGGCTGGATCAACAACGGCGGCCTGTTCATCGCGCACAGCGAGAACCGCATGCAGGAGTACCGGCGGCTCGTCGACATGGGCAAGGTGTTCGGGCTTGACGCGAGACTGCTGACTGCGCGCGAGGCCAAGGAGATTTTCCCGCTCCTCGACGAGAAAGCTCTGGTCGGAGGCATTTATTCTCCGCGCGACGGCACCATGGATCCCGCGATGATGGTCGCCGCGCTAACGAAATGCGCGAAAAGTCGCGGAGCGCAGGTCAGTGCTCGCTTGTCGTGATTTCAAGTTTGCGCCGCGGTTCATTTTCACTCCTCGGTGTATTGCAATATTCATATCGACTGCTTGATTTGGGAACGAGTGTCCGCACTTTCGCGATATACCAGATACCAATAACTTTTAAATAATTGAACGAATTGCTCTGTTGAACGCTTGTTTTTGTCCTCGCTAATCGCCAAATGAAATAAAATAATTAATTGCAAACCACTGTACATAATGCAGCATGCAGCAAGTCTTCATCGAAGCTAATAAAATATATCCGAAGGTATTCGAAGACTGTTCGGTGACTGGAATCCTCACGGACGATAAAACTTTCGGCTCGAAGCAGGTGACCGGCGTGGTAACGGATCACGGCGTCGTTCGTACGAACTGCGTGCTAAACGCGAGCGGAGTATGGTCGCGACACATCACGCGTATGGTCAACCTTGACATCCCACTGATACCGATGAAACACGCTTACATTGTCACCGAGTCAATGCCCCACGTGCGCAACTTACCTAACATTCGAGATCACGATTTCAAGATTTACTTGAAGATTCAAGGCGAGTCGATGAGCATTGGCGGTTACGAGTTGAATCCTATCATTCTGGACGACGTAAGTTTTCTCATTGTTAAACGATCGAAGGTAAGCGATGTTCTATCGATTTTACGCGCGCAGGTGCCGAATGACTTTTCGTTTGGTCTCTACGAGCTCGACTGGAACGTCTTCAACGCGCACATGGAGGCCATGACCGCTCTCGTACCTGAATTGGCGACAACCGGGATCAAATCCACAGTCTGCGGTCCGGAAAGCTTCACCCCCGATCATAAGCCGATCATGGGTCAGCTCAAACGATTTCTAAAACGCACGTGAGACGTGAAATGTTACAAGGGCGTACGGTACATTTTTTTAGGCGAAGATCCTCGTTGCGCTGGATTTTTCTACTCGTGCGGCTACAACAGCGCTGGCATGATGTTCAGCGGTGGCTGTGGCGAACAGATCGCCGAGTGGATCGCACACGGGCGCCCGAGGAAACATATGTTTGCGTACGACATACGCAGGTACGTGTATTTATTAAGAAAACGTACAAACTACTCGATAGTTATAATATATGACATGTTTGTGTAGATTTACGCCAGATCAAACACGAAACATGATGTGGACGATCGAGAGATCACACGAATCTTACGCGAAGAACTACTCCATAGTATTCCCGCAAGATCAGCCACTGGCTGGTAGAAATTTCAAAACCAGCCTCTTCCACGAGGTCATCGACATTTTCAATACTACAACAAACGATTGATTAATATTACATTATTGACAAATCATTGATCGCGTTCAGGAGCTGGTCAAAAGGGGATCCGTGATGGAGGAACGTCAAGGTTGGGAGAGGCCAGGATGGTTCTTGAAGAAGGGCACGGCTCCGGTACCAGCTTACGACTATTACGGTAGCTACGAGAACGCTAAGAATGAAAACTGCAAGTACATTGAACTGCTCGAGCAAGACGCTACCTTCGACTTTCCCGTTCACTTCAACAACGTGAGAACGCGATGACCTTTGACAAGCGATATATCTGAATACGTTCCACTTCTGACATTCAATTTTGTCAAGCAGATCAAAGAGGAAGCGCTGGCGTGCCGGAACAACGCGGTTCTCTTCGACATGTCTTACTTTGGCAAGTTTTATCTGTGCGGGCCGGATGTGCCAGCGGCTGCGGACTATATCTTCACCGGTAATACCGGTGCGGACATCGACCGGACGGTCTACACTTGTGTGTTGAACAATCAAGGTGGTACCGAAAGCGATTGCACTATGACCTGGATTCTACCCCGCTCCCATGGCATTGCTGATCCGATTTTCAAAGGCAAAGCTTTGTACGTCGTGTCTGGAGGTTTGTCATCCTATCATACTTGGGCCCACATTCGAAGAGTTATCGCGGACAAAGGTTTCAATGTGAGCTTGCATGATGCTACCGACCAGATGGGTATTCTGTCGCTGCAAGGACCAAATAGGTCTTCATTTTATAAATTACAATGTGTTTTTTTTTTTTTTGTACAATACGATCAGCAATTTTAGATGATAATCTTAATTTTTAGTCGAAAGATTCTGCAAAACATCATAGACGAAGATTTATCAAATGACAAGATGCCGTTCTCTACTTCCAAATTGGTCAAAGCAAATGGCAATTTCGTGCGGGCTTTTAGATTAAGTTTTGTCGGTGAGTTGGGATACGAGTTGCACATACCTAACCGGTATTGCGAGAAAGTTTTTCAAGGCATCATCGAGTCAGGCAAATTATGGAATCTAAAACCTGCCGGTTATCGAGCGCTCTATAGTCTTAGTTGCGAAAAGGGTATATAAATTTAACGTTGTCATAAATATTAACCAATTAGTAAACACGAGGCTAATATTTCGTCTTACGTATAGGATACCACTTATGGAATTCCGATTTAAGATCAGACGATAACCCAATCGAGGCAAATTTGGGTTTTACTTGTAGAAAAGATGGAAAGTATTTGGGTAGTGATGTCGTAGAGAAACTGCGTAAAGAAGGAATAACAAAGAAATTAGTTACTTTGCACGTGGAAGAGTGAGTATTTAAATTCAAGAAGAAACATGAAAAGACTGATTTTCAACAGAAAAATTAATTTTTATTAGACAAGTTCCGATGTGGGGACTGGAGACAGTTTATAGAAATGGAGAAATCGTAGGTTATCTAAGGAGAGCAGAGTATGCTCATACACTTGGTTACAGCATTGGCCATTCGTAAGCATACTCTTACTGTTGCAAAATCAAGTATTAAACATTATTATGTCAATTTTAAACATTTTTTCAGTTATATTAAGCATCCAAAAGACGAAATTGTAACAAACGAATTTTTAATGTCTGGCAAATATGAAGTGGAAATAAGGGGCAAAATGTATCCAGCGCAAATGTACTTAAAGAGTCCATTTGATCCTCATAACAAAAGACTTCTTGACGTTTAACACTAAGTAAGAAATGATAAACATTTATATTATTTTATATAAAAATGTTATATATTTTATATACTGCTATTTATAAGCAGCCAATTTCTGTAAATGGAAACAAGTGAATCACCTGACAATATACCAAGTGTAATAAGAAATCATTACGAGTTAATAGACTGTTTCATTTATGTGAACTTTATATTTGATTATTTTGTACTTAAAATTATAATATAATAATATGAAAATTAACGTCTTTCCGCTCCAATGACTAAAGATTACAAAATTTCATGTAATGATTTGTACATATAAGAATATACTTTTTATATGGACGTTTTCATAAATGATTTCAATTAGCTAAAGGATTAGCATGTATAGTTACATTGTTTATTCTTATATCTGTGAGAGGCCTGTAATTTTTATTACTGACAGGTAATTTTTCCAGTTGATCAAGTGTTTCTAAGCCATCAATGACTCTAAAAAAAAATAAAGAATAAAAGTAAAGAATAAATTATATAAAAAAACTATATCAACTTGTAATTAGTCAACTGACTCAACCTTACCGCCCAAAAAGAGTGTACTTTAAATCACAATTAGGCTGTGGACCGTAAGTTATGAAGAATTGACTTCCATTTGTATTTGGCCCATTATTTGCCATTGAAATTAACCCTCTAGCATTATGTTTCAATTCTTCTTTGAATTCATCTTCAAACTTTTTGTTCCAAATTGATGTACCACCTTTTCCAGTGTTAGTTGGATCTCCAGTTTGTACTATAAAGCCTTTTATATTTCTATGAAATGTACAATTGTTGTAATAGTCTGTTCCACACAAAGCCAAGAAATTCTAGACAAAAAAATAGAAGTATTGCTATTAGCAGTTTGTTCGAAACAGCACTGTATTTGAATGAGCATTTAAATGCATTAAATTGAAATAAAATTAGCTGGTACTATTATCAAATCAAATATTGTAGGTTAAGGGATACTCTAAGCTAAATATATTGATAAATATAGGTATTCAAATTTTTCAAAATTCATTTGAGTAACAACACACACCTCGCAAGTTTTTGGGCATTGCTCGCAAAATAGTTCGATTTTGATATCGCCGACATCTGTATGCAAGGTGACACTCTGTAAAGAGAAGCACAGGCAAACCACAAATTATAATGTATACAATATTGATCACTGAAAAATTCAGAAAACTCATCTACCCATCGCGAGTTGTCGGAGTACCATTTTCAATAAACAACGTCGACACCAGTCGTTCAATGAAAAGAAAAGTGTATATCCAATAGTCAAGGTCAAATCAGCAATTTACACAACACACAAGGTGGTGTTACCCTGTTACTGTCATGCATCCCGGCGAAATACACCTGAATTACGCGCAAACTGGTGCACATGCGCATTTAAGTTCAGAGCGGCCATTCACACCAGACATTCACACTGGCATTGCAGCCATTTTAAAAACTGTGCCCCCGCAGTCCTAACGCAACCACAAGAGTCATATTCACATCAAACTTTCGTCAATGTGATTCAACTTGTCATTGATATTTGTACAGATAAAAAATGATATTACGAGATTTTACTTTCTGTGAATTCCGTGAATGACAATAGCAAAGATAGAATTGGAAGAGTTCCTTGACTGGATTAATCGATTAGCGTAGTTTCCCCACCACGTTACCAGAGCAGCATCTACGAAATTCTACTTGCTATACTATCTGTTGGTTATCCGTCTTTTTCTAATATGCCATGTTTCGATTTACTAACAGACAAAAAGAAGTTGCTCTGAAAATCTTGGCCTAAATGTGTGCTTTAATGCCAAAACACCGTGAATTTTCTCGCATTTACTTGATGATATACTAATAATTTTTTTTGAATCTTACGTTAACAACATTTGATATTGTATGGACACGTTATGTGCACGCGATGGATTAACAGTTAGAAAAGGGTACAATCCTCTAGAGACCTTTGATGACCTACATATATAGCGTATATTTGTAACTACGTATAATCGCATTATGGAAACATAATAGAATAGTGTTTGTTTTTTAGTAACAAAACACTCCGCTAAAAAGTGCCAATAAGAAAGCTCTTGACAGAGATATCGATAATCTTTAACAATTATAAAATCCTTGTCAATAATTCGTTTATGGTCGTTCTTCCACGCCAGTATTTATCAATTTTTGGATGATACGTTCGGTTGTTCGAAAGAAGAACGTTTTTAAAAATTCACCAAAATTTTTTTATTTTTATAAGAATTTACAGGATCAGGTTGCATACCAAATTCTCGAAGTGAAATTTGAAGCTCGCCGCCCTGCACTTTTGACGAAGAGCAATGCGGTGCGAGAACGTCTCGATACAGTCAATTACATCCCCTCCCTAATAAAAACAAAGACAGTATATGCTACCCTTGTACTAACTGAACAAGGACAACGCTGGTGGAAGAGCGTCAGTATTACAGGTCGTGAACACGTAGCGCACGTTTGGCGCATGACGTAATTGTATTGATCGCTCGAGGAGAACTGTCCTGGACAGAAGCATCGGCAGCGACGGAGTGTACAGCCAGTGTAGGCACGTAGATAGAGAAAGAGAGACAGACGAGCGGGTAAGGGAGAGAGAAAGAGAGAGGCGGCATTAGTGGTAGCGTTCGGTGCTCTGTGCACTCGCCATCTTGGACGAATCATCGAGTAGCAGAGCGAGAGCGAGCGGAGAGGAGAGTGCTGTGTCTGGCGTGTGTGTTTAAGACGACGACGTCGCAAGCGGCGAGCAGCGCGGCACACACAGTTCATCCACCCCCTGTCATCAACGGTTGTAGTAAAGTTAACGCACGCAAGCGACAAAAAAAGGAAGAAAGGTATCGCAACCATCATCATCGTCCGCACCATTGAGAGCCAGGCAGAGAGAAAAAGGGAACGAGCGAGCGAGACAGAGTCATCAGAGAGCGAGAGAGATCAAAGAGAGAGACACGCGCGTACGCGTCCGCACGCCTTTGCCCTTTAGTGATAGAGAGATAACGAGAAGAAAAGAGCGTCGTTGGGACTCTGCAAGGCCCTGGTTTTTCGTGGAATCGTGACACCCATTTGGACGGACCAAGGTGAGTAATAAATGCTGCCTGGCGCCGTAGCGCACACACTCAGAACACGCACCGCGCTGACAGAGAAAGAGAGAAAGAGAGAGAGAGAGAGAGAGAGAGAGAGAGAGAGAGAGAGAGAGAGAGAGAGAGAGAAAGAAAGAAAGAAAGAAAGAAAGAGTAAGTGCGAGAGTGACAGAGAAAAAGAAGACACACGGCACAGGAACAAAGCGTGCGCTTCTCGGCTTTTCGCTAAAGCCAAGTCCGAGCGAAGGTCATGTGATGAATACAACAAAACGCACCGCGACCCCCCCAACGACGAAAATGAGAGATAGTGCGACCGATGCATTTTTGCGTGTGCTTACTAATGCATTGCGTCGCCTTAGACTAGGCATTATATAGGTACCCTGAGTGCGCGCTGTGATGCCGACACGAATCATCATCGTCGTCGTCTACACGCACACGCAGGCGGAGAGAAGGTTAAACAGTCAGGAGAGAGTACGCTTTTGTAAACAATTTGTTTGTTTTGGCTGGCTGGCAAAGCTCGAAGCATTTATTGCGCGCCCTTAATTCGTATCCGCCAGATTCCATTCCGTGCAAGAACATGCGAGGAGCTGCTAAAGAGATCCGTTCCAAAGGAGCGAGAAACACTTGGCTCCCTCCCCCTTGTGCCCCCATTTATAAATAGATTCCTCCAGAACCGCGCTTTTCTTAACTCGAGAGTACACAGGCTTGCACCACTTACTGGATAATTTTTTCTTTTATTATCTACATGTGTAAGATGTGAACACAAATTCATGTATAGATGTATGCCTTTTTCCTCCTTTCCTTGTTGCAGACAAAGGGTTCGTTCGTTGGGTCTGAGTGGTACTAAATGGTTGCCTGCAGACAGCATGTCTACTCTGTCGGGGATTGCGTCGAAGGGGGAGAAAGGAAAGACAAAGTACCAATCGATAGATATCAATAGTTTGTACAGATCAAGCAGGGTAAGTTGTTGCATTCTGCATCACAGATATCAATCTATGAACTATTGTATTAATTGTGAGGCTTTATTGGTATGATTAGGGAGAATCTTTGGAGCAACACCAGCAGAAAAACACAGTACCCCGTAAACATGGAATGCAAAGCTTGGGAAAGGTGCCCTCGGCGAGGCGACCACCTGCTAATCTGCCCAGTCTGAAAAGTGAAACCAGCAGTAGCGATCCAGCTGTCAGTCTTGTACCTACTGGCGGAAGTGGTTGGGCCACAACCAAGGATTTAGCATCTACAACTAATACTGTAACAACAATATCAAATACTCCATCTGACAACACAGCTGTAAATATTAATCTTGTACAAGTAGCCACAGTCGGAACTGGATATAGCGAGTCTCACTGATACTAAACTTTTTTTATAGACTAACGTATCACCGGCACAATGTATGACAGGACCTCCATCAGTAATATCACAACAGCATCCACCACTGCCAGGGCAACAGAGCAGTTCACATCCATCCGAAGCAGGAAACAAGTCATCATGGAGCGCGATAATGAGCAGGCCAGGAGATGTTGGTATGTATCCATTTGTATATCTTCCTTGCTATCAAATGTTAATCAAAGAAGTTAAACTTATTTGTTGTAAATTGTTTGACAAATTTGATATATTGAGGAAATATGAATACTTTTTGCCCAACATTTCATACATTCTAAAAAATCATGAATTCTTCAGTTATAAATCTATGAAAAACCATATGACTCAAAATTTAGGACCTTAAAGTAGAGAAGAATATATTGGCATGTGTTCAACGGTATTTGCGAGTGGGCGCGTGTGTGTGTGCGTGTGTGTTTTAAACAAAAATCGATTGGCTGTGGCTACAACAGTTGGCTACGCGGGGCTCGTGGAGTCAGGTCGAGGTGGCGGTCGAGGCGGTGCAGGCTTGAGCTTTCTCGCCCATCAGTCACCACAATTTCAACACGAGTTTCCAAGCCTGAGCGGCGGACAGTCATCCTCCTTGGGCACAAGCCCACCAACAGCCAATCATCCACAACAGCAGCAGCAACAAAATCAGATCTCAAGTGGTGTTGTCCAGCACCAATCAATGCTGCAGCAGCAACAAAACTATTCTCACAACCACTCAGGTGGGCTGCTGCTATGTGCTGCTTGCCACCTTTTGGTTTCCTTTTATTTTTGTTTTATTACTTTTTAGATTGTTGTAGTTTCTGCACTACACGTGTACATCTAGACTGAGTGTTTGTTTTCTATTGTTGATGTTTTATTTTAAGATTTCATAGCTCTTAAAAGCTATTAGTTTTTACAAGTAACATCAGTTGTCTTAGAATCGTCAAGATTTTAGTCTCATGTCTGTTTAGTCGATATTTTTTATTCAAAGGATTATCTTCTCCATGTTTATTTCACCTTCTCATGTGTTGTATAGTAGATTCCATAAATGTGTTTTTTTATACAAGCCGCACAATTCTTGATTTAGTTTACAAGCGTGAAAGAGGGAATGAAGATTTTATTTTCAAACAGATAATGCCAAAGCATTATTCATCTTGGTATCATGTTTGATATACTTTTCATTCGTTCTATAGTTACTTCAGGTTTTCAATAGCTATTTTTAATTAGATAGGATATATATCGTTGTTTATTAGTGCACTATCATTCAGTAAATGTTATGTTATAGACATGCAAATTCTATACAAAACAACATTAATGTATTAGTCTTTATTTTCATTTAGATACAATGTAATTGCATTGAACAAGTCTAAGAATGAGTATAGTGTAATGAAATTGATCGTTTATTTTTTCGCAGGAGGTGGACCCACAGGACAACAACCACAACAAAACCGAGAAAACGCACAATATGGTCCAGGTCCAAGTCTACGTCCCCAAAGTAAGTATATCTTGCTCACTGGTGAAACGACATGTCCAGATTCTAAGAAGTATTAAAGTCGTAAAATTTGGACGCTCAGTCCCAAGAAAAATACGTAAATACCACTAAATAATATAAGAAAATCACTTTTGTTCAGCCGAAGGAAGCTGGATACAAGGTGGAAGCCGAATAGCAGGAAATCAACAGCAGCAAGGTGGTGCAATAGTTGGTCCTGGCGTGGTCGGGACACCGAATATTCCGGTGGGCCAGGTCCCCCTGGTAGGTCCAAATGCGGGGCCATTATCAACTGTTGGCCAACAGCCACAAGACAGCTCCACTGGAGGACGTGCGAGCTCGGGCCCATCGCCAGCCATAATCACGGGCCCGGCAGGCCAGCCGAATAATCAACCGTCACAGGGACCACCACCCAATATGCATCACTACAGAGGAATCATTCCTCCCTTTGTAAGTTTAACATTTTTCGAAAAAATTGTTTGAATTGAAAAGATCTACTACAACTGTTTCACTCTATTACATATGATTTAATGGCTTAAACTATTTTTAAAAAGATAGAGATTACATACAAATAGGTAAGAGATTACACCATTACCGATTTTTGAGAGATTTGGCTCTCATTTCTTTGGAAATTTTTTCATAAATTAGCTGAATTTGAAATTTGTATGTAAATTACTACCAACATCTAGTTTTAATCAGAAATTGAAGTTGAAAACTAGAAATTTATGTTTTAATTTTAATAACTCCCTTTTGCAGCACTGTAGCAAAAACCATTAATCATTTAACAAACTTTCTTGCCCAGATGTACAGGGGCAATAATTTCCCAGCACAATTCCCTGCTGGTGGTCCTCGTCCTCGCGGTAATTACCCCGAGGCACGTGGTGGTAGTGGTGGTCCCAATGCTCGCGCTTCGCCACCAGTTGAGAAAGAATCAATAATCACTCGACCTATCATCAAGGAGGAAGATTTGTCGCGTATGGATGACATCTCGCGTGATGCCGGCTGGGCCGCGTCCGATGACATCGACTATAACCAGAAGCTGACTTTCAGTGATGACGAGCCCGACAACGAGTCGTCCGACAAGAGAGACGATAACCACCATTATCGAAGGCAACATCAGCATCAACACCAACATCACGAACAGAAACAGGAACAAGAGAATAAACATGCCCAAGATGAAAAGGATCATGCTAATGCTAAAGAGCAAAAAGATAGTAATGGTGGTAATGGACCACCAATGAGGTCGTGGAATAATCAAGGGCCACTGCCCAGAGATTATCGTGGACCACCCCCAGCTGGCTACTCACCACAGCCTTCCATGCGCCCTGGACACGCTATTAGACGTAAGCTATGAAACTTTTCATTAAAAAAACAGAAAGCTATAAGATTATTGCAGTGGATTTACATAATTTTTTTTGCTCCAGCACTATTAAAAAGCTATTGTATTACATTTTTTTCATTAAGTTAAAAATACAATATCAGTAGCAAGATAATAGTATTGTGTTTTTAATATAAATTTTGAAAATCTTCGAAAAGCTATTGAGATAATAGTTAACTTAATGTTGAAGATCCAGAGTAAAGATATTAAATTGAACATACTCATTCTGAGCAATAACAGCAATAATAAATAATCACACTGTCATAAGTGAATTGAATATTAGCTTATATCTTATTAGAACTATAGTTTTATGGGTGCAGTAAATGATTTACACTCCAACTTAGTTTTGTTTACTTGTGGGGAAATACAACAGTTGGCTTAAAAAAATACTAATTTTTATTTTGTTTTGTTTATCAAAACAAAATTGTCGGGTCTTTTTGAAAGATAATTATAAGCAACAAAAGTAGTTGTTATAAAGCGTTGCTTATTGAGATGCAATTATTTACAATTTCATAAGATGTTGTTTGTATAATCAACGTTAATGTCTGTTGAATTTGTAGAAGACGAAGAAGAGCTATGGAACCACCGAAGCGAACGCGTGAGCGAAAACATCGCGTCGGCGGTTGAGCGAGCTCGTCAACGTAAAGAGGAGGAGGAAAAGCGTTTTCAGGAGTTGACAAAGCAAGCCGCAGCCAAAAAACTGCAGGATCTTGAGAACAAGTTGAAAGAGAAGCGTAAAAAAGACGAGGAGCAGCAAAAAAGCAAAGATCCAAACGATGCGAAGTCAACGCCGGCGATACCAGTACCAGAGTGGGACAGCCGGTTTCGTACTTCGTCGACCGATGTCAACAAGGATCAGCCACTGCAGCAGCAACAGCAGCTGCAGGCTTCAAGCAAACAGGATTCGACAAGTGAGTTCCGCCAGATAGACCGTCCCTCTTTCGTACGACAATCGTCCGGTGATCAATCTACTGCTACGTCGACTGCGACGTCGACAGCGGCGACAACGTCAGCTGCAAGAGAGCCCGCCTTCTCCCGGCACTTTCAGAGCAATCTGCCGCCACGCTTCCAAAAGCAGCAGCAGCGAGAGGCCGCTGAACGTGGAGGAGGTGGCACAGGTGCGACCAACAACACCAATACGCGGCTTACGCCCAGCCCCTCGCAGGCAAACTTACCCTTCTCGCAGCAATACGACCCAAGCCGATGGGCCCATAACCATTCTAACTCATTGAGTACGTGTCATTGAGCGACATTTAACTTTTCTTGCCTAGATATTTCTCTTTATCTTTTTATTTGTCGTCTCTATTTAACTCGTTGGATCTTTTTAAGTTCTTCTTATTTTTCGTTAATTTATTCGTTTTTTTTTCTTCTTTTTTATGCACTGGTTTCTTTGTACCTTGCACATATAACTCGCTTGTATATATACGTATATATATATTTATTTATTTATAACATTTTTAATGCTTAGTACTGAGTATACAGATATATCGGCTTGTGATATTGTTCAAGTAGAATTAGGCGTATACCTATATCATTTTGAAAATTTGATTATGAAGAATGAATTATCCACTACTAATACTTCTATTGTTGCACAATCGATTTTATACCTGTAACGCTTGCACAACCTTTTTCTATTTGCGAAACTCACTCTGTCAGCATTTCATATTGTCGCAACTATCTGTCTGCCTATTTCAAACGTAGCTTCCCTGATTCGAATCCTTCAGTAGTACACGCTTGTACCTCGTTTGTCTTGAGGACATTGATTATTGACTATACAAAAGATAGGATTAAAAAAACATTTTAGCTTTTCAAAAATTGGCGAAATGTACATAAGAAACCGATATTGTTTTGAAGTATAGAAGCAACGCGAATCATTTTAGTGATAACATATGACTGAACGAACATGTGTTTGAAAAAAAATAATGATAATAATAAAAATAAAAAGATTTGTCAAGAATCTATATATGAATGACACAAAAACTTAAATTGGAAAGTCTTTGGCTACGAATCCATGCTCCAAATCAATGACCGTAAAAAATAACACATTAGTTACGCACTCCCTGCTCGTGCTATAAAAAAATTGATCCACCTCATAAGAACATCCCGGAATGCTTTATATGTAGTCGTTAATCAAGTATCCTCGTCACAACCCCCCCAAGTATCCACTCTTGAAGCCCGTGTCTTGCACTGACGCTGGCGCTCGTGCGCTTCTTACAAGCTTGACTAATCCCTTGATATTCTTTCCAACCAACAACAATAGGCAAGTCAATGGCTCCAGTGTCTGAAGATAGACGTCGTTCCGACGAACGTCATCGACCTAATCGTCACGGTGGAGGTGGAGGTGGCGAGCGTGGCAGTGGCCGTGACGGTTACTACGACGATTATCCACCGCGACGAGGTGGTGGCGATCGTGGTGGTGGTGGTGATCGTTTTGGCAAAGATTACGATTACGAGGACAACCGACACACTGGCAACTGGGCCGATCACGCCGAGAGACGAGGATATGATGATAAGGATGGTAGAGAAAGGGATCTAAGAGACAAGAAGGATTACGACAATTATTCCAAGGTGAACCACTTTTATCTAGCTTCTCTTTTTTTCTTTTTCGGTCGAAGGAATTTCACATGGGACGCGCGCTCTGTTTCTTACCATTTTTTTTTGTTATCTTGCAAACGAGAGGACGTTGGCAACGATTGAATACTTGATTGGGCTATTTTCTTTAACTTGTTTTTACAATCCTTCGTATTGACTTTTTTGGTGAGATTTCGTCCAGACGACAAAAAAATTTTGTTAGTGACTTTAAAATATTGTTTTCAAGCCTTTGAACTCAGGTTGTATCGTTTAACAATTTAAAAATAAAATTCTGTCGATGTGTTCGTGATTCTTTTTATAGCGATGTTTACAACTGTTGTGGTCTATGCAAAAAATTGCAATAACATTTTGTTTCAAAGACAGTACGTAAATAAATAGTTTGTTTAATTACAATAAATGTTATTAAACTATAAAAAAACACATCACAAGTTTATTAAGGTTCTTCATATTACTTCAATATAGAGAACTTTTAATTCAATACAGTTGCTTTTTAACGCAGTGAAGTAATAAATATATTATTAACTTTCAGGATTACAACGAGCAAGCGGCTAACAGAGACCACGGTCGTGAGTCGAACCGCAGCGAGAATTCCGGCGGGCCGGAATGGCGCTCCTCGCATGGCGATGATACGAGCAGCAGTAATAATCAACGTCGTACCGAAGAAAACCGTCCTCAACGTCCAGACTCTCGTGACAGTCGTGCATCCCGTGATTCTCGTCAGTCTCTCCGAGGCGATGACGATTTCCATAAAAGTGGTTCGTGGGCCAATGATTTCTCGGACTATGAGGAAGGTAGTAAGAAAAATTTTCGAGACGAGCCCTCGGCACCGCCAGTACGAGATCGACGCCAGCCGGCCGGACCGGTGACCAAGGACAAGCTCGACCAGGAGGAGATCAAGCGTGGCATGACTTCTTTGAAACGAGGTGGACCGGATCCAAATCCTAAGAAGGACCAAGATTCCGGCAAGAGCAGCATCGAGCAGCAGCAGCAGTCATCGTCGATGACTGGTGGTAGCGAGGCCAATAAAAAGGACAATGATGTTTGGAATCGAAACAAAAGCACGCCTGATCCTATCAAAAGCAATACCAGTTGGGCGGACTCCATCCCATCGCCTACTTTTGAGAAGGAGGAGGAAGAGAAGCGTTTAATGGCGGCACAGAACAATGATGCCGATAAAAAGATTGGCAATCTGAAGCAGGGTATGGAAAAGCTCAATTTAGATGGTAATAAGCGCTCGAGCAGCGACCTCGACGCTGAGAAAGATGAGCAGAAGGATGACAAGCGTGACAAGAATGCCCGTAATCGGGCCAGCAGTAGCGGTTCTCGCGGTCCACGTGGCGGTGAGCCTCGTGGAAATCGCCAATGGGGTAGTGGACGCGAAAGCAACGTCAGCAATCAAGTGCCCGTAGGTGGTCAGGTTCAGGGGAGTGGATCCTTCAGTAACGCTTACGGTCAACGCTGGCGTGGCAACGAGCCTCCTGCTCGCGGTGGTGGTGGACGTCGTTCTGGCGGCAACCGGATGGGCGGTAGTGGTCGTTCCGGCAAAGGTGGCAACTACGAACGTACTGACTCGGAGCTGAGTGGCGACGAAATCATCCGCGAGGGTGGTGGTGGCAGTCTCGAGACAGGCAAGGATGACAGGCGGCCCTCGACTGCGAGATCGCCTAAACCATCTGCTCACAAGGGCGAGAAGGACGAGCGGAATCGTAATGCCGCTTCTACCAGAAAGGACGAGGCGCCGCGTCAACCCGGCGAGTTCTCTCAACCCCCTAAGAAAAACGAACGCAGCGCGTCCGACTTAGACTCCAGGCGACCCGCTCGCGAAGGTTTCGCCCCTTCCGGTGAACCATCGCGGCGTGGTCGCGGTGGATTTCGCAACAATCGTGGAGGACCGCCAGCAGCGACAGCAACAAGTGGCGGTAGTAGTGGAACAGGAGGCGGTGGCAGTGGTGGCGCACCATCGAGCGCTGGGTCCGGCGGGCGCATTGAGGGTTATGGGCCGCCCCCCAGCAAGAGCCCCTTTTCCTCGGGCGACGACAATAAGCAGTTCAACGTCGACGAGTCCGGAAATAACGCTGCAGATCACCACTCCGAATCAACCGACGACAAAATTATAGCCAAGCAACAGGCACTCACTGCCGGTATCACTGGTGGCAGACACACGAAGTCGCCAAATCAGATGAATCAACCGCTCGACGCTCAAGGCAAACCTCTCAAGAAGGACGACTCGAGGTCGAAACGCACGAGAAGCGGCAGTAGGAGGACCCGAGGTGGCGGTGGAAGAGGCATAAATGCGGCTAACAAGAATTCGGCCGACATTGGTGCCGAGGAGTGGGAGACTACATCGGAGAATAGCGAGGAGCACGCCAATGAGAAAAAGGACGGTCACGGTGGTCGCAAGGGATTTGGAGGTAGAGGTGACAGACAGAACGCCGTTGGTAATAATGGCTCGCAGCACGGTCGAGAGCCCAGAGGCAACAGAGAGCCAAGAGGCGACAAGGGCCCAAAGTCTTCCAACCCTCAATTGGCGCGTGACCGTGCTCCGGTCTCCGAAAAGGGTCGTAATTCAGGACCACCCCGTAACCATAACATACCGCCATTAATGCAAAACTCGCAGGTGCAGAACGGAAGACCAAGAAGTCAGGGCTCTGCTAATAGCGGGCCTATTGGTAACATAAAAAATATCATCAATAAGGACACCACGGTCAATCGTATCGACGAAATCAAATTAAACGATCCGAACTTGGTAAACCAGGCACTAAATGATATCAACAAATCCAAGGAAAAGAGGGACGTTGATGTCGATAGCAACTGCGTCGAAGAAGGAGTTAGTGCTGGCGATGACAAAGTTGACGCTGATGGTTTCCAAGAGGTACGCTCGAAGAAAAATGTGAAAGATTCGAGGGGTCAGCAACAGAAAGACGAGCAGCAGACTTCAAAACCCAGTGGTCGTCGTGACAAGGAGCGTGAACGTGATCGTTCAAAATCCAAGAGCAACGGGGCCCAGAATCAACAAGGTTTAGCTGGTCAGCAGGGGCAAAACTCGACGAGTCAGACGATCGGTCAGGCAGGTGCTGGAGCACCGCCCAAGCAGTACGAGCGCAACGCCAATCGTCAAAAGCTCGCGCCGCGATTTCAGAAAGCCAGACTGGCCAAACAGCAGCAGCAGCAGGTCGACGGCGCTGACGGCAAGCCTCTGCCCAATGCTACTAAAGAAGGTGCTGCTCCACCTCCGCCTGTTAATGCTTGGGACAAACCGTTCACCAGTGGATCTCGTTCGCCCCCGGCCGTGCCGGCTGATATTCAACTAATGTCTGGTTTGACAGCGGCGGCCAGCAATGAGCAGGACTCTACTGAGCGCAATTCACCGAAGGTCGTGGGAGAGAAGTCAAAAGATCAGTCTCAGGAGAGCAAGACTGGGCAGGACGCTACATCGTCCCCACCGGTGCACACGCTCATTTTCGAAAACACCAACTACACGAAGAGCACAAAGAGCAACGTCACGACTCAAGGCCCTAGCGACATGGCCATCAAGCCCAAGTACTCTAACCACGTGAAACCCAAGCGATCGAGCGAGCTCGATGACGAGAGTTCACAGCTGCAGCAACAGCAAGCTCTCGCTGTCGCCTTCTCCAGCAAACCTAGTGATCTCATCAAGGACAAGCAGCCCGATCCTATTCAGATGCCACTTTCGTTCAACAACAAGGAGGACAGCTCCGACATGAAGCTTGACTTTACTTTTGATTCGGACCTGTCACAACTGACCGACGATAAGAGCAAGACTCTGGGCATGCCTAGATCGATGCATATCACAAGCGGTCAGAGCACCATCTCACCGTCTACGGCCGAGCTCAATTTGAAAATTGCCTCGGTAAAGAAGGTCTGGGAGAACGCACCACCGATGCCGACGGTTGTTGAACACGAAGTCGATCAAAATGTCGTTAGCTCGGCTAATAGCTTCCCGCAGGCGTTCGAAAACAACGATGATGACAGCTACATAACCAATCAGCAGTACAACCAGGGTAATATGAAGAACGAGATTACCACGTCAACGAACATTTGCAAGGTAACAATTCACCTCATTCCTTTTTCATTCATTGCGTGCAAGTTGGATAGCGGTAAGATTCATACAGCAAAAATCCTCCCTCTCTTCCCCTCTCCCTCACACACACACACACACACACACACACACACACGCGCGCGCGCACGCGCACGCGCGCGCGCGCGCACAAAATCGAACTTACCGGCCTACCATATTGCACCCACGCACGCACTGACTCATTACCGTTCAACTCACGCGACGCGCGTTTAACGGTGATGGGCGAAAAAAAATATTCATGTCCCATGAGGGAAGATCTCTGACTCTCTGCCTGATGCGCAGCTGGTTCCCCCGCAGGTGAAGCCGCAGCAACAGACGTCTGGTGGTGGTGGGGTCCAGCCGGGTTCCTCTGTCCCAGGTCCAAGTCCTATTGGTCCTGGTCAAAGTCCTATTGGTCATCCCCCGGCTAATTTGCAGGGCCCATTGAGCCCTCCGCCATTCAATTCCACTAGTCAACCGTCTCATATCAATTATCAGGTGAGTTTTCTTTTTACTGAATGTTATTAGTAATTGTCTCCTTAGTCTAACATTAAAATAATAACCTATTAGATAGCATGATGTAACAATTCTAACCCAATGAATTAATGAGAAATCTCTTTTGGAAATTTACTCAAAAAGAAAATTACACAGTATCCGGGCTCTCAGGCTGCGGCGGCGCAATACGGCAGCATGTCAGCGATTCCCTCGCCACCGGCAGTTCTCTTTAACACAAATTCAGGCCAGTTGCCGGCCCAGGCTGCAGGCGGCCTTTACGGTGCTTTCCAGCTAGATCAAAGCCGTTCGCCCTTCACTCAATATCCACCGTATGCAGCTTCGCTACAAAGTTCATTCAACCAGCAAAATATGTACCTGCAGCAAGCGCCTCCGCCTCACGCACCTAACGCGCCTACGCCTGATATTTATCAAAGCAACCTTTCGCAATATCGACTTGTAAGTAATTCGATTGATAGTTATAATAGTATTCTCTTCTCGCTATTGCTCTGTTATTCAGTTTTTTCATGTATCTTTGAATTTAAATTATACTCTATTGATATATGCGACGTGAAATTTATATTTTAAAACCATTTTGAAACTTTTAGCAGACCGCAGCAGCTGCACCGCCATTCGGTCAAAACCAACAACTTAGCAACAATCCGAACACGGTACTCATAAGTTCATCGTCGAATTCTCTGATGTCGGCTAGTGTCAAGCCGACTTCTCAACCAATCGGTGCTATTGGCACAAAAGCTCCACATTTCCAGGCGCCTTCAGCTCCTCCGCAACCAAATCAAGTGAGTTGTATTTCACACTTAATATTCGTTGCCCTCCAAATATTGCATTGCTTACTTATTTCGGTTCGTTAAAACACAGCTGGCATACATTCCGTACGATCCCAATCAAGTATTAGGAGTGAGTGGCAGCTACATGGGCAATTCTCAGCTGGTTCAGCGACCCGGACCTAACGTCCAACCGTCGGCAAATAATTATTATAATGCTACCTCGGCGGATGTGTTCTCGGGCTCGCAAACGGGTTACTATCAACCCGGTGGCGCTGCCCAACAAACTGGAGCACATTATAGCCTTCAGGGTTTCGGCCAGCACAGCCAGAGTCTTACTACTGGTAACGCCGCACCTGTGGGTTTGCAAAATTTCAGCTCGCAGTTTCTCTCAGGATCCGGACTGCAAATTGCTGCCGCCGCGGCTGCCCAACAGTACCGCAATCCTACTGGAGGACTGCCCGGTCCTGCAAATGCTGCAGCTACGTTTCTGAACAAGCATCAGCAGCAGGATCAGCCGAGACAACTTAAAAGTCCATCAGGCAATCAGCAAGATGTACTTGCTTCAGTTTTCAGCTCAAGTGAGAGTCGTACATTTCATTATTGTGCATCGATTGCTGTTTAGGTAGACCTTACTCACGAATAAATATTTCTTTAGCGCCACAAATTCCATCCCCAAAATCAAGAAAACAACAATCTTCTTCACAACAACCACAGCCAAGTCCGACCCAACACCATAAATTTCAGCAGTATCAGGGCGTTAGTCAGTCTGCTCTGGTAGGCAGCTACAACAACTACGTAAGTACCACTTCTATAAATATCTATAAAAAGTGTCTCTTAATTATAGTAATAAAATTAATGTTTTTGATTTACAAGTATTTACCGTAGTAAACGTAATTGAAATTGGATTTTGTAGCAGAATGTGCAGCGTGGTATGGGAATGCCGCGTGGAGGTATTCAACCATCACAGCAACGTTATCCGCCACCGATTCAGCGACCAGTTGTACCATTCCCCCCGGGACCCAATAATTCACAACAGGGCCAGCAGCAGCAAAACTGTATGCCTAATCAGCAGTCGCAGATGAATCGTCATAGGCCTAACATTCACCAGCAGCAGCCGCGCAACATGAAAATACAGCAGCAATATTACTCTGGGCAAAGTGAGATTTAATGCCATTTCACATTGAAGCAAAGAATCGTTTATTTTTAATACGCTTTGCGTCTAATTTTTTTCATGTATTTGATTTGACAAGAATCAATTATTAGTATAAATAAACGATTCTAATGACGATGAAAATATTTTAGCTATTAAAAATTATAACTTTTAAATTATCGAATTCGCTGTAGGCAACGTGAAAATGGATTCCAATGATAAAGTGGACTCGCACAACGATAAAATTAACGATGTTAACACGGCAAGCCAGGCAGGCCCTAACAAGAATAGCGCCAATCTATCCGAGACCGATAACAAAGAAGAAATAAGCCAGCAAAATGAGTAAAGGAGCCACTACATACGTAATCATCACTGAAAGCTTGCTTATGTAACTTCTAATTTTTTTAATTACTCTATACACCAATATGCGTCATTTAAAGCAAGGATACGTCAAACTATCAAACCTCGGCTTGGAGACAAATAGAAACAAAAATTGTATGAACGGTCGTTCATTAACTATAACGATTCTTTAGAGTATGGCAAGATCAAAATAGTGCACAGCTATTATCAATGCACTCACAAACATAGATAAAACTAATACAGAGAGAAATTTTATGTTGATTTATTCCATTCAAAGCCGGGATGCTAAAACCAATTTAGCTGAGGCAGTCTTTCAATTTGATCATTTAATTAAAACGACATTCGAGTGGTACTCGTTGTGTCATTTCATCTATATGTCTTAAGTATTAGCACAGCCCGAAAGTTGAGTGTTGTCATCAGTGGGAACTAAGTTTTAAAAAGAAAAACAAAATATGTTGGAATTATGTGCAACGGAAATTTTTAAGTCAATCGCTTCGGAATGATCAGGCAAGATATTTAATCTAGCTAGATCTTTAAATATTCGAACTCGCGAGTCTTTCAGACAGATCAGCATAACGACTCGTCGCATCCACAATGCGACATTATAAGCCGAAGGGAAAAAAGTGCTCAGTGGTTTTTTTTCTTTGACGATGATGATGGAAACATGGCAAACAACTTATAAAGACTGTTTTATGCTCTGTTCGAAAGGTAGTGTAAAATATGATGAATCAGTGATGTGGTCGCTAAGTTTGTATAGTAGTCCTCAAATAATAAAAAAACAATTGTTTAATGCTGTATCGTCCGCAAATCAACCACGTCTTTCGCGCACCGGTTACGAAATATTCACTATTTCTAGCTATTTCACGCTTTTAAAGTGTCGGAAAGTGCGGCGCAAGACTCACTTTGTTGCCAAGGCTGATCAATGATTAAACAAAAACTAAACTGAAAGAAGCGTTCGTTTGCTGATAAAAAAACGCAAAAATTGTACATTTTTTCAGTTACTGTTCTTATTAGATCGTCTATAAATACTATAATTAATATTATATTAAGACGAAAACAAAGATAATGAATAAAAGACATAAGTTTAATTAAAACTGAATTCTAAGCATTGCTCATCTCATTACTATCAAATCGACAGAACGCGCATTAAGTCACGGTCTTTCGAAAAGCCGCGACAGTCATGACGGAAAAACAGACTGGATCCGATTTTTTCTTTTCTCAAGATACGGAATCTACTGCCAGTCGTCACGACGACATCCAATACGAATGTTTTTCACGATAGGTAATATATAAAATATTTAAAAAAATAAATATAACACGATTCAGCGAGAAAAGAAAACTACGCATCGGAACGAAAAGTCGGATATATAAAAGCGTACCACCGATTCGATTGGTGTAACCGTATCGAATGTGTTTTAAGGATATATTCGTAACAAAAAACTTTGGTACGTTATTGTAACTTTATTCATGTAAAAAATGCATATGCAAATAACCTGGATATGTCTTTAATAAAATCTAATGGATATGATACAAACAACTCTAGACAAATGTAATGCGCAAAAAGTTTGCTACTGACTGTTAGCCGTTTGCTGCGCAATTGTCGCTCAACCGGTGTCGACGATTTTATAGATAAGAAATGAAGTGAAAAAAAGAAAGTTATCAGAAGATTCTTCTTTTTCATGCTACTATAACTATTATAAAATTATTATTAATTAATTATCATTTCTTTTCTTTCCTAATTGTTAAAAAAATACACATTTGTTTACACGTGTACATTCGACGAACGACGATTAACGATGTAATGTATCGCCGCTCGAACAGGACAAAAATGCGTAAAATAATACATGTAAAAGATTACAAGGGTACTCGGTTAATCGTTCAAATAACGCCTAGTGCTTTAGAGATGTCTGAAATGGTTAAGAGAAAAAATAGAAATGCTATTATCCATTGCGTCCCCCTTTATTCTTTATTTTTTCAACGGAGAGACGAAAATTGTGTCCAAGGCACTGAACACGTGGGTTATCGATGCGAGGGTCTGCTTTTTCATATTTGCTCTTAGGACCAATGTAAGACTGGCCAATTGATAATGAGTTCTTTTTTTGAGTATTAGAGAAAAATGCGAGATTTATTTGTAAACGATAGTCTAGAGCTCTACGCAAGTCTTTGTTTCTATTATTTTTTCTTTGCTTTAACTCTGACATTGTGTAATTTAATTTTTATCCTTAAAACGAACAGTTTAATTTGTCTCAGTAGTAATTAATGAAGCAAGCGTAAGCGCATAGCCTACTCCGATAACGTTGTATGATTATTACTGTGACTGACAATACGTGTCCTGTAGATATTGTTTTACTCGAAAGACTGAAAGCTTGTATGTTTCCGTGGTTTTTTTGCAAAAGAAAAATAATAAGTGTGCCTGCATGCACACTGCCAAGATGGGAGGCTGTCTGTTATAAACGAATCTGTTTAGCTGCGAATAGTCGTTTGTTTATTGTAAGTTTATTCAGCCAATGCGAGTCGATTTTTCTCGTGAAGAAAAAAAACATTGAGATCGAAAAAGAGATATCAGTGATAAAGGTAGACCCTTGGATTAAATCAGCCCCCACCCGAAAGTGCCTATAAATTTTTTTATCTTTCCTTGAGTTGAAAACTGAATACTTTCTTGAGACGAATGTTATGCACCTACGACGAATGATTTACTGTAAAAGATCAATAAACATTAAATAGAGAAATTATTATACTGAAAAAGGAGAAAAAAATAGTTTGTTATTTTTATTTTCTCTTTTTTCACTTTCTATTCGCAACATCGCGATTTTCATTATTTTTTGCATGTTTCAAAGTCTTGATTTTTTTGTCTTGTTCTTTAGGTTTAATTACCTATGTACATCTAAACGCAGAATGTGAGTTCGCTGGTTGCTCAAATGAAGAAATAACTATTTTACTTTTTGTTTCAACCCAACTTGCTTACTGCAGTGAGATGTATTATTTTTCTTTTTTATGTTTCAATGATTAGTTGGCGATGTTCAATTCGTATTCAGAATCAGAATAACGAGCGAAACTAATAAAAAATAAAAGACTTGTGGATAAGTGGCAAGAAGATATGGAAAAATATGTAGCCTTTTATTTGACACTGTAAGATATTTAATTAATAATAATAAAGAAAACGTTTACAAAATATTTTCGTGTTTTGCAGAAATAAAGGATAAAGAGGCGAATTATAAGCCTCTAATAATTGAAATGTCTAATGAGTAACGATTAGAGCAAGTGTGTATCAACTCATCGAAATCATTTTGTCGTATCGATGTATTATTATGACTTTGATTTAATGATAAAAAAGTATATAAAGATGAATCGATCAATTATATATGAATCTATTATAGATGAAGATATGCCATAATAATCCAGGTTTTTTCCTTCGAAACCATTTGTATATCCTCTTGTACGATGTTATATTGATGTCGGAGAAATGAACCATTGATTTATATGTACACAAAATAATAATTGAAAAAAAAAAGAAAAAAAAGACGCGAAAAAATTTAAAAACGGAAATATTCTCAGTCGTTTCGAATGTGAAAGAAAAAAAATATATAGAGTGAGTATATTCGCGAAGTATAAGATTTTGGGCTCGTCGTGGGCCGTAAAATGACAATTTTTAGGTGGATAAATTTGTTGGATGACGTTTGATATTAAAAGTAAATCGATGCCGACAAGAGAATTACCCAGAGGACAATTATAACGTGGATGGCAATTGATGAATGAAAGAAAAGTATAAGAAGAGTCGTCGTTACGTATAACGAATCAATGCACTATGGACGAAATACAGAAATGAGGGAAAAGGAGAAGATAAACACGAAATAATGGCATAAACATTACGCTTGCGGTGTAATTATTGTCTTTAGCAGCAATGAATTGTAAATTAAAAGTACCTGGTTGCAGTCGTAAGCGAGCAACTTGTCTGGCAAGCGCTTGGTTGCGATTACAACTTTACTTTGGAAAACAAAATCGTTGAAGTGTTGCCTTTTATTTCTCATCGTTACCCTCATATTGCATCCTTCACGTTTATACGTGCGCATATTTTATTTTGCGTGTAAGTTGTTATTAAAAAATATTCGGTTTACGTGTTTTACTTCACAATTTGTCAGTTCTCTTTTATCGCTACCACGCAAAGTCACAATTTCAAAAACTATTTTTTTTATTTTTATTTTTCACGACAAAGAGTAATTTAATAAATTTTTACGTTATTTTAGGGAAACATTCTTTCGCGTTGTCGCATTGAAACACATTTACAACTTAATGTAAACACTAATTCATCGAGTACTATTGCTTCTTTATATTAGGTTATTGTTTTATCGAGTAAAGCGAGTTTGTGAAAAGTTGGTTTTGTTTACCATTTTTATCGAAATATAGTATTGCTAAATTGTTTCTAAGGTAATTAATATATCCCCATATGTCATCCTATAGCTGTTTGCTGTATTCGGTATTCCTGGAGCACTCGTTACCTTTGTTGAAAGTTTTAAGATTATTGAATTCTGATATTTTATCTAAATTGGTAAATACTGTTTGACTGTTTGAATAGATTTACAGTATTCTTTGTTTATATTTTTCAATTCATATATTTATTCTCGTTTACGCATGCGTTTTGGTATATCGGAGTATTCGATCACGCATGCGTATTGGCTTATCGGCGTCTCAGTGAGAGACCCACCGCCATCTAGTAAAGTAAAGTAAAGTAAAGTATATCGGAGTATCCACCGCCATCTACAGTAAAGTAAAGTAAATTTATTTAGAGATAGCGACCCACACCCACCCCACCGGCCACCGTTATCTATACTAAAGTAAAGTTTACTGTCCCGCCGACGTAGCTATCACTACACCACACAGTAGTCACTACCGTTCACGGCCATTGTACGTGGTCAACACGGTGAATGACAATGACAATTGATTTCTGAAAGTTAATATAGTCGTGAAGGTCGGCTTTCTCGTGGTCAACAACAGTCATGGGCAATGAAAAAAGCGCTCTTAAGGGTTTAGAGATCGATGACAAGGCAATTGAGATCACCGACTTCTGGACTCATCATAGTTCTATCATACAGAGCTCCAATCCTCAAAGTCTGTCTGTTTTTGTCAGTGAGCCTTCCCTACATTCTGATTGTAGTTTTGGTAAACCCTCACCTCTAGAGAAGGCAGCTAAGGTATGTTTTTGTTTTATTAATTTTGATTTTTTTAATTTTCAATTACACTTATCAGTTAGACCAATCATTGACGTCTACTATGTTTTGATTTCAGAACTTGATGATCCATAGGCATCCTTGCATCCTAAAATATGTATCCTCTTGGTCAAAAGGAAGCAAGTTTTTTCTAGCAACAGAGGAAGTAAAGCCATTAGTTCAAGTGATCGGTTCCCAAACTACTTTGCAAATTTGTATAGGATTGCATAGTATCTTGAGAGCATTGCTTTTTCTCCATGAGAATGCCAGTGGCTCACATAATAATGTCTGCAATAGTTCTATTTATGTGACTCCAGAAGGTTCTTGGAAACTTGGTGGTTTGGAATATTTCTGTAGAAATTCAGATATAAATGCTGCTTACTTTAAGAAAATCAAGACATACCGCTATGAGAATGCCATATCACCTGATGAAGATACTGTGATGCAAACTATTTCTGATGATCCATCAGCTATTGATAAATTTGCTTATGCTGTCTTATCAGAAGATATATTGAAAAACAAGAATGAAGGTATTATATGAATTTTTGACTTTGACTTTTCTATTTCTATTTTATGTTAAAGTTGTGCTTAATTTTACTTTTAGACGATGTTCCTGGCTTAACAGATTTTAGAGATATGTGTAAAGCAAAACTTAAAGATATATCACTGTCTTCTCTAGTCAACCACCCATTTTTCACGCATGATTTTATGAAAATCTATGCTTTTTTGATGGAATTACCTTTAAAAACTGAGCTGGAAAAAGAGTCATTCTTCTTGTATGTATTCATTTCAACTAAATGTATGCAAATATAAACATGGTGCTAATTTTTATTTTGATTGATTTAATTTTAGAAACTTAGTATCACAGTTACAAAATTTTCCTGAAAAAATAGTTGCAGAACAGTTAGGCAAATTATTACTGTCGAGAATGGTTTTATTAGATCCCACTGCACAAACAAAATTTTTGCCATTTATTCTAACGCCAAAAGGTGTGTATTATAAGTTATTTTTAAAATAATTTATGAATTATCTATTTGATTGATACATTGAATTTTTCTAGATAAAGAAGATGATCCTGGCCTTTTGACAACTTCAACATTTCAAGCTTGTCTAGTTCCAAAACTTTTACAAATGTTTTGCGTTCGCGACGGGCCAATCAGAATGCTACTGCTCAAGCACATGAACTCTTTCATAAAAGCATTTCAAATTGACGATTTACAGAGGCGCGTGTTGCCGGAACTCCTTGTTGGAATCAAAGACACTGATGACGTTTTAGTTAGCACTACTTTACGAGCTTTAGCAGATTTAGTTCCTATTCTCGGTGCAGCCACGATTATTGGCGGCAAACGTGCCAGACTTTTCACCGATGGTCGACCGAACAAGACACAAAGAAACAAATCAACTAAGCGAGTAACGTTTAGCACTCCACCAAAAACAGTAGAGTCGCCAGTTACGAGTTTGGAGGAGCCACCATTGTACTTACCCGAGAGACCGTCACCCGATGGCGGTGAAGACAAGGAGGAGGTGAATTTCGGTTCGGCCGAAGAAGAAAACTGGTCCGACTGGGAGGCCACTGAAGCAAATAACTTGGAGATGACCACAAGTAATGGTGGAGAAACATTCGATACTCTCGTTATAGAGGAAGAATTGGCGAAGATTCCAATGTCAACGTCAATGTCGATGACTAATTCCTACCCGAAGAAACCTATTATCGCAGATATTTCGGAGCTAGACATTAAGCATTCCAAATCCATGAACAATGAAGTACCGGAAGAGATTGATTTCTTCACGGATATGGAACCAGTAATTCAAAAAACACAGATTCTGCATGTCGAAGAAGCTTTACCAATTCAGTCGGCGACGACTGTGATGACGAATAAACTCAATTTGGCCATGGAGAGTACAGAAACGGAACCTGACGGATGGGGTGAAGACGACGATTGGGAAGTCGAAGGTGACAAGTAGAATTTGTAGTAAGCGACTGAAAGTTTCGTTTTAGCATAGACTGTTGAGTATTGAGATAAGGAGAATCGGAGAGGCATTGTAAGTGCAAATGTCTTTCTACTTTCTTCGGTGTTTTGATAATATATGAAAAGTCAGCTGTTGAAAAGTTGTTTATGTACACACACACACACACACACACACACACACACACACACACACACACACACACACACACACACACACACACACACACACACAAGCATAGTTTTCGCCATTTTAATATCGCGCATATCTGATATTTATTTTGTTTATATACTTGTAGCGTATTTTTGTAACAACGATTACAGGTGCAACCGAGAGAAGCACTTTAGCTTAACTTACATACTTGTAAATAATCGTTAGAAAATGTATAAATCTTGATTGATTATTGTAAATATCTGTATTGAATATATTTACGAATAATACATTTTTTTTCTCGAAAAATCTAAGAGATCGAAAAGTGTGAAGATGGTTGGGCAATACAAAAGGAAACGATCAGTGAAAGCTCACACGTTTTATTCTTAAGACACTCACAAATGAGAGCTTTTACATGATCTTATTCGCGATGTGTTTGTTTCGGCAAGAAAATTATGTAATCGGACTTGAATTGATAATTTCGTATAAAAGTAAATAAAATATAACAAGTAACAAGAAAGTTTGCATTTATCACGAATGCATCCGAGTAGATATTGTCTAACTGCAAGAATGGTTGTTCTCTAAGGATTTCTGTTTTTTTAGTACTGGTTTGATAGATTTTGATCCTCTTATAAAATTCACCTCGTCCCAGAACGTGTTCTTAAAAGCGACCTGTAATAACGACGATGTACGATGATTGTTGATTTTTTTATGAATTGAACAATAAGGCAATAGTTTGCTTGCCTCATTTATTTTTGAAACAGAAAGAACGTTAGAAGTGAACTCGTAAAATACGACTGCAAAGGACACCACAATGCCACCTCCTAATACGTAGAAAACACCAATCAGTTGGGTTAGAGTCATCGGCGTGGGAAGGTTCGAGTTATCGTCCTGCAAGAAAAATGAAATGACACGGAATGTACGAAGTTATTTACGATTAGCTAAACAGCGTTACATTAAAATGCAGCTTACAGTACAAACAGCGCCTTTCTCAGTCCACCACTTTTTGTACAAGTTCTTGACCACCGAGTTCTCGTTGAGCATGGACATTACTTTATCGACTTCCATTGTATATTTGAAATCTGCCAATAAATTTATCATGCAGGATTCATTAATGTTCATAAACAGGAAGAATCTTATCATAAATAACAGTGTTGGGCAAATTTATATTTGCGACTAGGTATTTCGTTATTCGTGTGGTGTCATTGAGCAAGTTTCGATATACACTCGAGCACGAAGGCAAAAACTTGAACAAGTTAGAGAACGATTCAAGTTATCGAACTCTGGAGCTACTTGAGTGAACTAATCTATAAATATATTTCTAAGTTTTTGATTTTTTAATTGAAAAGCTTGAGATATGCAGCTTGGCAGCACGTAACGCAATTCAATGGAATGTGAAAACGATAAAATGGTTGAAAAAGAATTTTGAGGACGTTACTAGTGATCTGCTACAAGATTTTTAGGAAAGTAACGTCGTTACACGATCTCTACAAATTGTTCGCGTGTAACGTTGTTAAGCCACGGTTTTACCGGCCAACACTGACGAATGAGTTGAATAATCTTACTCGAGGAGTAACCGATGGCATAAGCCTTTTGATCGATCAAACCACCCGCTTGCTCGATATTACAGATTCGATGTTGGAAGTACTCGATGGTCGGTGACTCCGTGAAGAAAGCATAATCGTTCTCTTCGTTTGCAACTAGCTCGACTCCTTTTTCATTCTTATCTACCATCCACTTGGAGGCCCATTCCGGATCCATCATATTCTCGTAGATCTGCCGATTCTCGGGGTCGGTCGCGCTCTTCGGGCAAAGTCAGGCGCGCAGATACATCTCGATATGCACAAGTCTGTAAGGCTGTTGCGGCTTACCTCGAAGTACTTGAAAGTGGCGCCGCCTAATTTGGCTCCGTATTTGATTTTCGTTTGATTGTACAGGTCTCGAATGTCGCGAACGATCACTTCGGGTGTCTCGATGGTCAGGAAAGCGGCCAAGTTAGCGGTGTAGGTATTGGCGATGATCAAGCAGAAGAACCACCTGTCGCATTGCACAAGATTCACTCTCCATCGAGACGCTTCCGCGTTACAAAAAAGAAAATGACGAAGGAAAAGCAACTAACCACCATCCCGCTAGGCATCTCGTCGATATTCCTCTGTAAGAAAAGAAGAGTGGACATTAACGAATGGGTCCGCGGAAAAGGCAAAGAGGCAAATCGGAAGGTACATCGGCGCCAGCTCCGAGCCCTGCTGCATGAGAGCCCCAATGGTGAACCAAAAGGCATTGTCGATGGAAAATTGATTCTCCAGCTCTTCGGGCTCGTCGATGCAGGGATAGGGGTTGGTCCATTCGGGCGGACTGAGCCGACCGAGGACGTAGAAGAGAACCGAGACCACGACCCAGGCGAGAGCCAGGCACATCCAGACGACGCTGTTGAAGGGCAGGAAGAACGAGTACCACGTGGGCGCCGCCTTCTGCGGCTTCTTGTACAGAATGCTCATGCCTAGGTTCATGAAGACCGTGGAGAAGCGTATGCACTGGGCGCGGTTTTCCGTGATGGTCAGGTCCGTGATCGCCATGTCCATCTCCTTCGGTCGAACGACAGGATCAGCGCCTCGCTTGGCGCCCGCGAGTGGCAAAATACCTACGTTTTCGAGCAGCTTGGCCATCATGCCACCGCACGTGCACTGCTTCGTGCTGTTGTCTTTCGAGCATTTCCCGTTGTCCCCGTCGTCTTGCACGTAGAACGTGTAGTTGAAATTCAGATCCTTGGCGATGGCCTTGATGATGTCGATGACGAAGCCCTCGTAACGGGCGTTGCCCGTCAACATTTTCGAGTGATTCACTTTCTGCGCGTACGGCGGGTTCTGAAAGGTATCTCAGCTTTCGACGCTCGTAAGCTCCTACGATATTGCAAATCAATGCGAACAACTCACGATGGTTATGAGGATTCGGAAGTGTTCCTGTGTGACTTCGTTGGCGAGACTCAATCCGTCGAAGCCTCGATCGGGATGCCAGGTGCCGACCTTCGCCAAGCCAGTGTGATGAAGATTCAACACGTCGAGCTTGAAATTCCTGCGCAGTCCATCCGCGTCGAACATCAGCGGCCCGGTCAAGCCGTTCAACTTGCTCTGCCGACACGAGCAACGATCGCACAGCATTATTCAGCCCGGCGCCCGCTCGCTCGCGAATAGCACTCACGGACAGGATGTAATTCCGAAGACTGAGTCCCTCTGGCCAAGGACGAGCCTGACTGTAATCCTCGGGCAGCTTGGCGCCGCCGCGGCCGATCGGATTGGCGTAAGCCAAGTCCTTGTAGCCCTGTGCGAACAGCGCAACGGCGTCGAACATCAGAGCGTCCTCGACACGTAGTTTGTCCACCGACTCTATTTCGAAGTCGTGCAAATGCGTGCCGACGAAGTTCGAGACAAATGGATCGTCCGGATCGACTAACCGCAAACCACTGATGTTGGCTCCGGTGTGCTGGAATGGCCATAAGTCGATCGTCTGCAGATCCTGCTTGGATACTTTTATTAGATTTCTTACCAGCCAATCATCTAACTCTTTATTACTCACGAAATGTTCATAAAATTTTTGCAAGTGATAGTGGCGAACCGAGTCATAAGAGCTACGTTTTCCGAATTAATGATGCGAAAGTAATGGTAACTCTTTGTTTGTTTTAGAGCAACTGTTTTGAGGCGTACCAAGGAGGCAACCAAGTATTTGTAAGAACAGCACATTAAGCCAACTTCTTGCGCTTGTCTCATGACGCTGACGAGCATGTGGTAGTCGCAGTTCAGGAGAAAATTCTTGTGACCAGACGATTTTGCAGCCAGTAGTGGCTCACTGCATTCACACGGCATTAATTTACAGTAGCGAGGAGAAGCATTTCGGCATTCCATCTTACTTCATTAGTTTTCATTTACCTAAAATTTGGTCCGCTGCCTAATTTGAAAGCTCGAATGTCGTGGGTGTACGGGGGACGCATCGGATAGACTTTCAGGACGTCCCGGAGGGCTATCAGGTCGTCCGTGTCGCCGTACAATATCGAGAAAGATTTCCATTGAAACTTTTTTATCATCTGCGCGTAGACCTGGCCGATGAAAGAGTCGAACGATTGATTTTCGCAAGTGATTCTGACGGCATGCAGGAGAAACAGGAGAAGCGAGTGCTCACGGCGGCGAGCGCGTTCGGGTCCGGGTAGAGATTGATCGGTTTCACGGGACCGGGCGTCGACCTGCTCCCGCGCCCGATGACGATGTGCGGTATGTCGTGCAGCGCGCACAGCCCTTGCGTGTAGACCGATGCGGTGCGCTCGTGGGGACCTATCACCGAGGACAAGCCGAGTCCCTCGTCTCCCGACGACGACCCATTGGCGCCTGCCATTTGGCCGACTAAGCAACAAATGCCAAATTTTTAGAATTCAAAACAGTTTTATTCGTAGTTGTAGTTCATAATTGTAGTTATGGCTCTGAAGTAATAATGCAATTATCTTACATTGTCACTCGTAATAAATTAGATAACTTTCTTTTGAGTTCAGATTTCTCATAACTAATTCAATGGTTATTTCAAAGTATACTAGGGAATGTTCTATTGTAAAATATAAATATAACGTTATGATATAACATACATGCTGAATAGAAAACAATGAAAAAAGGTTTCGAAGTACGTATGGACATATAAAAATGAGAGATCTATTCCGAGTTGACCGAAAAAGAAGAACTGTTAATCGGATGAGTGCCAAATTCTGTAGTGGTTTGTATAGACATTCACTTCACGGAACTTGATTGAAGTATATATGCGCAAATAAGCCATAAGAATCACTTGCTCATCTGCGAATTGAGTAAACTGGCAAAATAAAAATTAAAAAAAAACAGACGTATAAGAAGGGCGTTCCAACACTTTTTGTAGATGTAAATCAAGTCGTCGCCAACTTGAACGGCCTTCGCCTTGATTGCAATCCGATGATACAGGCTCAAGTCGACGTCGTCGTCAGCGTTGCGGATGAGCTCGCAGATCTCATAGTCGCGCGTGCACTCGTTCACCGTGTTCACTGCCAGCAAGAACGAGCGGCGCATGAACGCGTTCTCCTCGAAAAATCCACCTGCGCTCGATTCGTCCAGATAAGCCTCCACGCGTCTCGCCCTCAAAACATATACTTTTCTTTTGGTCGCAAAGACGTCTCACCTAGAACGGCTGTCGGTACACTCGCACTGCCAAGCGCATACACCAATTGCGACGTGAAAGCAAGTAAAAGACAGCGAATCCACATGGCGATGATCCCATTCTAAGCAGCTACTTCATCTGCAGTTATGCCGCTTTCGCGTTGTGCATTTACGTATCTCGCGCGCGACACACGCGGAAGACGCGTTATTTTTGAACGACCCGGAACGCCGACAACCAATTCAAAGTAATTCCCAGACCGTTTGAGCGAAAATATTGTTTGACGGCAAAACACGAACTAGCTCAGTTGCATCACAAGGAACAATAATTAGCGATCTGCGCACAAGTTCTGTCGTCCGATTTGAGGGGATTCGTCGAGAGAGGAGAGCCGAGAGGTAATTGTCGCGCTGGCGAACGCGCGGAGAACGATAGTTTTGCATAAACGCTTTACGTCGTAGCGACGTACTCACAACTGCACGGGTTCGAGAGAAGAAAGAGAGGCGCGCAAAAGTACACGAGGACCACGCGGATCGCGTCGTTACAAGCATCGGGCACCGCCGAAAATCTAGCGACTTGCTCGCACTCGCGGCAAGAGCGCAATGCCGATCTGCCTCCAAGTGTACGTGCAAGACGCAGCGTTTTTACGTTGCTATACTTATTTATAGGCTCGGGCCATTTGCGACTCGTCGCCGCGTGTTGCCTGCACTTATTCGACGCACGTGTGCACGCAGTGCCGGAGTTGTATATATTTATATCCTTCTCCCACACGCGCAACTGCAGCTTCGTCAAACGTTGAGAATCGAACGCGGAACGATGTTTATCGAGCTTCGTACGATCACGGCGATTGAGACGCAAGACGACGGAAAGATTTTGCGTTCGACGAAGAGGCTGCATCGACGCGAAGCCAACTTTCTTCCGGCTTCCTGTGCTTGCTTCATAGTGTATATACGAATAGCCAGTTGTTCAAGAATTGCTTATAAGTAAATATTTTATTTATTTTATTTCACGTAAATCCGTTACTTATCTAGCTCTTTTTTTAGATGGCGTATTTTTATAAATGTAATTGTAAGCTCATACTTCATAGCTCTGGTCACGTCTAATTATAAATCCAACTGTTTCAGTCGAAATTTTATGAGGTGAGTTAGACTTCTGCGAAAGCTCGAAAAGCTCGAAAAGCTCGAGCCTCTTCAGCCCCAGTACTCTCTGCGCTTTTATCAGCTCGGTTTTTCCCAATTAAATATTTCAAAATCTCGATTGGAGATGTAAGAATACACAGTTTCATAGCTTGACAATTCGAACCAGCTTGTGCTTTGGCCCTTGACCTCAAACCGAGCCGAGCCGAGCTTTCACACTACGTAGTACATTTTATCCTATTCAACTATTTTTCAATAATATAGTTGAGTAAGCCAAAAAAAACTCTGATATTTGTGAAATTACGAAAAATGCATTCAGCGATTCAAGTGTGGTAAAGAATGTATAACAACTGCTATGACGAAACGTCAATGTCATTTTTATGACCGTATTTTATTATGCTATTTGCCATTAAGTTGTGTTTTTAAATAACATTTACGTAAGTTTCATACGTACGCATTTTTACAATACGATTCCTACAAACGAAAGAAAATTCTATAGGCTGATGGTTATAATTACAGCCTGTTATTAACTGCTTTTATATTGTAAAAATAAAAAAGAAATCTATAAAACGTATTCATCTCGTTGGATGAATGAACTTGAGTGCTTAAAATATCTTATTACGTTATTCTTGGTGATTCCTTTTGGTTGATGCGATGTGTCATTGTCAGATGTATCCAACCTCAGATACCTCGCTCTCGTTTTTCCGCTTGTAGAAACTGTCGGTTTTTCTCACGATTTTTCGCTTCCTACCTATCACCTTCCCGCTTATCTACAATTCATCTTTTATTTCTCGTATCACACTTCCCTGTGTATTGCTGCTCTCGTGTACACGATTAATCTTTTTCTCTGAAGCTCAAGTCCGATTAATAGGCTTTTGCAAAAGCTCGGCTCGATTTGCTCGTTTCCTCGAGCTTTACGAGCTTTTGCGAAAACCAACGAAATATCTCGAAATTACTTAAAATACATCGCTGGGTTGCGAGGAATTTACAAAACAACCGTTTAAGCGGTTATGCCAAAAAGCGGCCACTGGAAACGGCGCGGCCATACTATCCAGGTTACGGCGCACAAGCGTACGAAGGTATTTCTGTATTATTCTTGATACACTTGCAAAGATAACGAGCAATTGATGTCCCGTCTGCAAACAATTGCTTTCGGATAGAAAAATATGCGATTTACAATTTCGTATAAAATAAAGTATAACCTCAAAAGTAAGAAAAAAATCTGTAAGTGTACATTTCGCGAATACGTTCAAGTCTGCGAGGTCATCATCAAATCGCCCGAGTAATTGTCCGCTGATGATTTTCGTCTCAATACCGGCTTGATCGATTTCATTCCTTTTATGAACTCGACCTCTTTCGAAAAAGTCTCTTTGAAGGCGATCTGTAGTAACATGGAATGATAAATAATTTGCTGACATTAAAATTATCTCTTATTAATTGTGCTGACCTTCTTTGATTTCGAAACGGAATAAACATTGAGAGCAAACTCCAAAGACAAGACTGCAAAGGACACGAGAAAACCGCCTCCTAATACGTAGAAAACACCAACCAATTGGGTCAAAGTCATGGGTGTGGGTAGGTTCGAGCTACTATCCTGCAAACAAATGCAAATGACGAAAAACTGTAAAATGAAATGACGCAAAAGTTGTGCTTACCGTGCAAACAGCGCCTTTCTCCGTCCACCACTTTTTGTACAAATTCTTGACCACCGAGTTCTCATTGAGTTTGGACATGACTTCGTTGACTTCCAGGGCATACTTGAAATCTATGAGCGAGCGTGTAAACATAGAGTACTCGTTAACGTTTTTAGGTAAGACAAGCGCGACGACGGATAGCACTGATCTTACTCGTAGCGAAACCGATGGCATAAGCTTTTTGATCGATCAAACCGCCCGCTTGCTCAAGATTACATATTCTATGTTGCACGTATTCGATGGTCGGTGATTCCGTGAAGAAAGCATAATTGTTTTCTTCGCCCGCTACCAGCGCGATTCCTTGATCATTTGTATCCACCATCCATTTTTTCCACCATTCCGGGTCTATCATATTCTGGTACATTGCATTCGTCTGAGGATCGGTAGCGCTCTGAGGACAGACATTTCCGCAGATGCTTTGCGCGAAAGAATAAGCGTATCATTGCTTTAGCTTACCTCGAAATACTTAAATGTGGCGCCGCCTTTTTTTGCTCCATACTTGATTGTCGTTTGATCGTACAGATCTCGTATATCTCGAACTATCACTTCAGGTTTTTCAATTGTCAGGAAAGCAGCCAAGTTGGCGGTATATGTATTTGTGATGATCAAACAGAAAAACCACCTGGTGCATTTTTCAAGCGTTTTACTTTCTGTTGAGCTACTTTTATATTAACAAAAGAAGATCGTTAATGAATATCAACTAACCACCATCCTGCTAAACATCTCGTCGACATCCCTCTGGAAAACAGTTCAACATTAATCAGTTTTTGAAAATACATCTAAAACTTTTGTTAAAGAAGTAGTAAAGTGTGAAGGTACATCGGCGCATGCTCGGTACCCTGCTGCAAGAGGGTACCGATGGTGAACCAGATAGCATTGTCAATTTGAAATTGATTCTCCAGCTCTGTAGGTTCGTCAATGCAGGGATATGGGTTTGTCCATTCGGGTGGACTGAGACGGCCAAAAATATAAAACAACAAAGAGACCGTAATCCAGACCAAGGCTAGATACATCCATACGCTTCTGTTGAATGGCATAAAGAACGAGTACCACTTCGGTTTGGCTTTCTGCGGCTTTTTGTAGAGAATGCTCATGCCTAAATTCATGAATGTCGTTGAGAACTGAATGCACTGCGCGCGATTTTCCGTGATCGTCAAGTCCGTTATCGCCATGTCCATTTCCTATTATCAACCGATATAATCACTGACTTTTATATTAACAAGGGACAATATGATGCAACCTACTCTTACATCTCTTAAAATTTTACCCATCATGCCGGTACAGGAACATTGCTTTGTACTGTTGTCTTTTTTGCAGCTTCCATTATCCGAGTCCGCTTGCACGTAAAACGTGTAGTTGAAATTCAGCTCTTTGGCGATGGCCTTGATAATGTCAATAACGAAGCCTTCGTAACGATCGTTACCCGTCAAACTTCCCGAACGATTCACCTTCTGTGCGTACGGTGCATTCTGCTCGTGCGTTAAACAATGACCAAGTATTCAAATGAAAGAGCGCAACATCATCAAACGACATGAAAGCTCACCATGGTGATGAGAACTTTGAAGTGTTCCAATGCGACTTCATTGACGAGATTCAACTCGTCGAAGCCTCGATCGGGATGCCAGGTGCCGACCTTCGCCAAGCCAGTGTGATGGAGATTCAACACGTCGAGCTTGAAATTCCTGCGCAGTCCATCCGCGTCGAACATCAGCGGCCCGGTCAAGCCGTTCAACTTGCTCTGCCGACACGAGCAACGATCGCACAGCATTATTCAGCCCGGCGCCCGCTCGCTCGCGAATAGCACTCACGGACAGGATGTAATTCCGAAGACTGAGTCCCTCTGGCCAAGGACGAGCCTGACTGTAATCCTTGGGCAACTTGGCGCCGCGGCGCCCGTTCGGATTGGCGTAGGCCAAGTCTTTGTAGCCCTGTGCAAACAGCGCTACGGCGTCGAACATCAGAGCGTCCTCGACCCGTAGTTTGTCCACCGACTCTATTCCGAAGTCGTACAAATGCGTGCCGACGAAGCTCGAGACGAATGGATCGTCCGGATCGACTAATCGCAAACCACTGATGTTGGCGCCGGTGTGTTGGAATGCCCATAAATTTGTTGCTTGAAAGTTCTAAAGGAATAATTTTATTATTATAACGGTTATGTTGTCGCTTCTAAATCATATAAAGCTATTGCGTACCCACAAAATTAGCAAATTTTAAGCAAATTAACTGTCAGCTATTTGTTGGTTGACTATAAATTAGATTTATTGGATACAACGAACTTTTAATTACGAGAAATCTTGTATACAATTAGAGTTTAAATGTAGGATAGCTCGATAAATAGGTTATACGTAAAACATGTTAGATGCCAAATGAACAATGGACTTTAACGTTTTAACTACATCACGCGTAGTCACAATAAGAGTACTTCTATAGCATATCGCATTTGGTTGATACATGTAACAATCACTTACATTCGTAGCAACAGTATGGTCACGTTTTCTCTTATTATAAAGGGCAGCGATATATCGCAAATGGAAGAACACGCCATTATGCATATAGGATCATCCCATTTCTTGCGGGATGCTGAGATACGTATTCATGCACTCCTGGTAGTCTACTATCTCGCAAGCTATGCGTGCATATTTTTGATAGTAATATCGTTCCTTTCGCGTGATTCTTCCAATCGTTATGATGTAATGCATGTAACAATTGATTGTTTAAAATAAAGAAATTTTCGATGTTTGTGCGTCCTAGCAATTCTCTTCATCGTCAGTCGTGAAAGCAAGTTTGAATGTACTCAAATTGGGTTATTGACTTGATACGCAACATCTTGAATGATATGAGAAATTATGTGCAAGAACTGCAGTGCAGCAGAATGACTGAATTAATGGGTTGGGTTATATATATAAAATTAGGTGCGGATGACCAATAATTAAGCTCATGATCATTTGTCACAGAATTATTAAAATACGAGGTACATAAAAAACAATTGGTTTGTATTTCGGCGATTGAAACGTACCAAGGAAGTAATGATGTACTTGTACGCTTCAGACATTAAGCCGACTTCTTGCGCCTGTCTCATTACGTCGAAAAGGATATCGTAATCGCAGTCCAGAAGAAAATTTTTGTGACCGGAATACTTGGCAGTCAAAAGTGGCTCGCTGCGTTTACACGGCGTCAATATACTTTAACGAAGACGAGCACCGTTCGCGTATCGCTTCGTTTCTCTTACCTGAAATTTGGCCCACTGCCCAATTTAAAAGCTCGAATGTCGTGGGTGTACGGCGGCACCATCGGATAAATTTTCAGGACGTCCTGGAGAGCTATCAGGCCGTCCGTGTCCTCGTACAATATCGAGAAAGACTCCCACTTCATCCTCTTGATCATCTGCGCGTATACCTGGCCGACAAAAAGGATAGCCGACTGATTTTCGGAGATGATTCTGAAACAGGAGAAGCGAGTGCTCACGGCGGCGAGCGCGTTGGTGTCCGGGTAGAGATTGATCGGTTTCACGGGACCGGGCGTCGGCCTGCTCTCGCGCCTGATGACAATGTGCGGTATGTCGTGCAGCGCGCACAGCCCTTGCGTGTAGACCGATGCGGTGCGCTCGTGGGGTCCTATCACCGAGGACAAGCCGAGTCCCTCGTCTCCCGACAAAGAACCATTGGCGCCTGCCATTTGACCGACTGTGCGTCAAATGCAAAACTTTCATGATTCATTTGGCGATTAGCTCGCAGCACTTAATACTCAAGACGTGTATTTTCTTCATAAAGAAAAAAATCGCCTGTTAGCTATTTTCCTTTCAAAGCATTGATAATACGTAGAAAAAAGTGAGAAATCCGTTGTATTCTTCAAGCAAACGGTCGGAAATTAAGAAAAGCTTATGAATGGCATTCTTGACGAATGTTAGCCTAATGGGATCAGTGCCAAATTCCACCATCGTTCAAGATCGTTGCATTACTCTAGCAAGTGGGAAAGTGAATCACTGTACTTAGTGTGTGGTCACAGTAAGACCACATATTTTGTCGATTCTGTGACCGTCGCGTTAATTGTTATTTTTTCCAATTCGCGGTACAGTGGAATAATTACTTTTGTGCAGACTTGTGAAAATGTAGAGCCATTTGAATGGTTGATTTTTGCTGAATAATATATTATGAAATTGGCGCTAAAATTGGCGCTTTCCACGCATTATCTTGAAGAATACCGTAGCTGACACGTGTTCGTATTTCCAGCCCGTCGCTTCGTTCGGGTCATAACCTTGCACGAGACAAGGGTCTATTTTTCTACACTAGTTATAGGTAATGTACTATAAAAAAAGAATAAATATACTGTTTTATTTAAGCGTAATTTATTGGTTCAAACGAATGAAAGCTCGAGAACCTTGAGTAGGTCAGTAGAATTTTATTTTAGTTTTACTTAAATCTTAACATTGTTGAATGTTGTTTTGTTAATAAAGCGTAGTATACGCAAATAAAAAAAAACACTTGAAAATGCACATTACAAAATCTATAGATTATTATTTTTGCTGTTACTATAGTCAGTACGTATTACGTAACACATAAACTAAGAAAAACCTTTGCATCGAACCTACTTTTTGTAGGCACGCGATATGTAAATGTTTTATTGTTAGTGTTTTCGAATAAAATGAAGAAAATCTATCTAACGATCCTCAGAGATAACTGGAATCACTGACTACGTAAAGAAGCTTGAGCTACTATCGAATTAAGCACTCCGTTTTAGTTGAAAATATTAATAAAATCATCGTAAATATTTTCATGCAAATAAATCGTCAAGAGTGAGAGATGATTGCGATAATTTCTGTTCTGTTTGAATACATATTGGATACTTTATATTAGTAATTACTAAGTGCGCACAGCATGCTGTACTAGTCTAGTATAGGAAAATTATTTGAACAAACACTTTTTGTAGATGTAAATCAAGTCGTCGTCGACTTCGGCCGCCTTCGCTATGATTTGAACTTTATGGTAGCGGTTTAGGTCGACGTCGTCGCCAGTGTTGTGGATGAGCTCGCAGATCTCATAGTCGCGCGTGCACTCGTTCACCGTGTTCACTGCCAGCAAGAACGAGCGGCGCATGAACGCGTTCTCCTCGAAAAACCCACCTGCGCTCGATTCGTTCAGATAAGTCTCTACGCGTCTTGTCCTCAAAATGTGCTTTCGTTTGGTCGCAAAGATGTCTCACCTAGAACGGCTATCGGTGCACGCGCACTGCCAAGCGCATATACCAATTGTGACGCTGATGCCAGTAGGAGGTAATGAATCCACATCGCGATAACAACGCTGCTGCTATTTTATCTGAAATCATGCTGCCTTGACGTTGCGCATGTTTGCGCTTTTCAGACCACGTTAGTTTTGGATCGCGTCGCAGTGATTTGTCGTTCGAGCAAAAAGATACGACCCACAAGTACACATGTATAAGATTAGATTACGATTGAGCATGCAAATTTCCAGTTGCATCGAGTGCATGCTTTCTTTATTTTTCTCTGAGAATCGCGCCTATTCCAAGATGCAATGCAAGACCGCGTTTGATATTTAGCCGTTGAAATATTTACGCTTCTCAATGCGGTAGCACATTTTGATCGCGAGGTTCCAGCACAGACAGCTACTCTATTATCGCCTCAAAAGACCTCATTTCAGCTGGAATAAAAGTGATCTCCTCGGCGTTCTAATAAATTTGGCGCTTCCTCGAAATTCGTTGAAAAATTTCACGAGCGAGTCTCAATGAACGAGGACGCGAACGATTATTTTTAAGATGCAAATTAAAAGACATTAGCCAATGATCGTGTGTGCGTTACAAAAATGGTACTTACAGCTGTGGGTTACTTACACCGTTAACTCGAGCAAAACAGAAAACACTCGACGGGATTTACCAACGGAGCCCCCCCTGCTGAGACGTAGCGTATTTCGAATAACTCGGAAGGCCGTCGCAGCCGATTACTCGACGGCACCGGATCGCGCGCACCCAATCGAGTCTCGGCTGTAACGCACGCTTCCGAAAATCCTCTCGAGCATCGCACTTGCCGCAAAAGTAACGTGGCGTGCTACCGAGCTGCCTCTAAATGAAACAAGCCACGATATTGTTGCTTTACCTATTAATAGACTTGGACTAGTTGCGCGCCGTCGCCAAAGCTGCTTGCACTTCATTGCCCACATATATGCCATGCTAAAATTATGCGTTCACGCCTCTCCCACGCGTGCGCATCGATCAACGTATTTTTTTTTCAATGTTTATTTCAGTGCTCAAGCTGGACATTACGAAAAAAATCGAAAAATTAATAATCGCGCAAAAGAAGAGATTTAGAGCTTTACATTCTGATCGCAGTAGCTGCAAAAGAACGTATTTTTGGCAAATTAATATTGGCAAATTATTTTACAAATGTAAACGCTATGTTACTGCGCAAAATAGTTCATGTGTAAAATAATTGTACGCACAATCGTTTGCTTGCCGTAATATTTGCGGACTATAAGGTCCTGTAAAAGAGACTGCGTATAATTATGGCAAAGGTTTTTTTCCATCAAAAAAGAGTTACCAGCGAGTCTTCCAGCTTTCATTGCTCGTTAATTCAACAAATGCAATGCCGCAGCCAGCGATGCGCAACGCTAGGTACTTAAAAATGATGTAGACGAATATCTACTTTCTAAAAAACTTGTATCTACTCATATAAAGTACATAGTTCGAAGATCGGTTATAAAACAATTGAGATTACCGATACTGGATTCAACGTTATATCATTCGCGTTGGTGTCAATCAGCCTATCTTGCATTCAGGTGACAATCTTGGAGAATCCTTATATCCACAACAGGTAAGTTATTTTATTAATCTTGCTGTTCAGGTCTTAAACATTTCTATTTCCGTTTATCGAAAATACCCGACGACATTAATTACCATCGACGTCTGCTTCTTTTTTAATTCATAAACATTCTTGCTTTCTAGATTGCGCATCCTTTTAATCGAATGAAAGCAAATACTTTTTTAGCTACACGCGTTTCGCTTAATATACCTTGCGAGATAGAAACAGACATGGATTTTTAGGACGATGAGGATGATCAGGATGTCAAAGGTCGCAGGTCGGATTCGCAATAATTTACTTCAATTAAATTTAAGCACAAGTAAATCTGTAGCTTGCCAGTGTAACCGTTCGAGTCAACATTCTAAGAAAATCAAGTTAGCATTACATCAAATATTAATTTAAACTCAAGCTATGAAATCTTATATCATATTAATGTATAATCGTAAGTACATACACTTCTGTGCAGATGTAAAAGGAATACGTAAAATTTGTCGCGGCTTTTCTGCAACGATTCGCCTAAACTTGAAAAATACTTTTTCAGTTATGACTATTTATAATTTAGACAAACCACTGAAAAGAAACTGAGACACATGTTAACAAATCTTTATGTAACGATCATCTTTATTTTGCAAATTATCAGCACAAAGTTTTAGAAGTAAATGCATGAACCTTTGAAAAGCATCTCAACTATCATTTATATTTATTACGAATACGAAATTTTAGCGGAGCATGATAAAATTTCCTGCTAGGAAACACCGTTGGATTACCGGTGTAATTAAAGTGCTGCGCTATAAAAATGCACGGTTGCATTTCACATAGAAACACGTATCAATGGCATTCTTTTCAAGTTCCCATTAGCTATAATTTAAGCAAATCGCAACTACATATCCTATTCGGTATATTTATTTACGCGTACAGCAGGATCTTGAATATATATAAACAAAGGTAATATATACATTCACAGATAATTGAATACTTCATTTTATCAACAAAATAACAATATTATAAATGGAAAAAATAAGTAAAAAGACAACGCTCGAATGTTCATTCGTGTTATTTTTAATACATTTACAAATCGAAATATTGATTCATATGCGATCTATAATGTATCTGTTTCGATAAAAAAATATTTTATAGAAAATTTTGAATATAAAAATTTAACAAATAGCAAGAGAAAAATAACAAACCTATACGAATACACTATTCAAGTTTGCGTGGTAATCATCAAATCGCAAGAGTAATTGTTCACTGGAGATTTATGTATTTTCAATACTGGTTTGATGGATTTCATCCCTTTGATGAACTTTATCTCCTCCGAGAAAGTTTTCTTAAAAGTGACCTATGAAAACATTGAATAATAGATGAATTCTTCAAATTCCAATCTTCTTTATTGACTACGCTCACCTTATTTGATTTCGAAACAGAATAAACATTGATAGCAAACTCAAAAAACAAAACGACAAAGGATACGACGAATCCACCTCCTAATACGTAAAAAACACCAACCAATTGAGTCAAAGTCATGGGTGTAGGTAGACTTGAGCTACCGTCCTGCAAAATAAAAGACACCATGGAAAACAGTGAAGATGAATTACTCGAAAATACAGCTTACAGTGCAAACAGCGCCTTTCTCAGTCCACCACTTTTTGTACAAGTTCTTTACCACCGAGTTCTCATTGAGTTTGGATAGAACTTCATCGACTTTCAAAGCATACTTGAAATCTGCGAACAAACATATATGAGTAAATTCCAAAATAAAATGCACTCTTTGTATATAGATTCACGGTCTTTTCTCAGTCCTATGGCTTTCGAATATTTTTTTTCTTGCTGTTCAAGATCACAAACGAATGAAAAAACTTTTTATTAGGTAATTTTGATCAACGATTATTTTTTTCTCCTTGAAGGTCTCCATACGTATTATCATAGTGCCTTATTAGATACTTATTCAGTATTATTAGAAGCTGAGTAATAAGTATTTGAAAATTATTCTTTTTGTGTCTATTTCCTAGTATACGATTTTTTTATAACGATCAAAAAAATATGCTCGTAGTGAAATTTACCATTATTTACGAGCATCTTTTATTTGTTTGACGGAAACAATGAGATGAAAATTATTAGAAAGCTCACAAGCTGCAAACAACTTCACAATTCTAGAATCGCAAAAAGTACATTTTATTTTGGAATTTATTCATATGCCAGGATTAGCTAATGTTTTCGCACGACATAAGTTTGATCACAGATATCATTGCTTTTACTCGAGGCGTAACCGATGGCGTAAGTCTTTTGATCAATCAAGCCACCTGCTTGCTCAAGATTACATATCCTATGTTGCACGTATTCGATGGTAGGTGATTCCGTGAAGAAAGCATAATTGTTTTCTTCGCTTGCAGCCAATGCAATTCCTTGTTCGTTCGTATCTACCATCCACTTTTTCGACCATTCTGGATCCAACTTATTCTCAAACATCGCCCTCTTATTAGGATTGGTCGAGCTCTAAGAACAAAATTTCTGAATGTGAACGCGGGGAAACACAAATCAACGACTATATGTGACTGACTTTGAAATATGTAAAGGTGGCGCCGCCTTTTTTAGCACCATATTTGATTGTCGTTTGATTGTAGAGATCTCGAATATCTCGAACGATGACTTTAGGTTTTTCAATTGTCAGAAAAGCAGCCAAGTTGGCCGTGTACGTATTCGTGATGATCAAACAGAAGAACCACCTGTTGCATTTTCGAATGACTACTTTCTGTTCAACTACTTTTATATTAACAAAAGAAGATCGTTAATAAAAATGAACTAACCACCATCCTGCAAGACATCTCGTCGATATCCCTCTGGAAAATAGGCTTACATTAATCAGTTATTGAAAATACATCTAAAAGTATTGTTAAAGACGTAGTAAAATGTGAAGGTACATCGGTGCATACTCGGTACCCTGCTGCAAAAGGGTGCCAATGGTGAACCAAAGAGCATTATCAATTTGAAATTGATTCTCCAGCTCTTTAGGTTCATCGATGCAAGGATATGGGTTTGACCATTCTGATACGACCAAAAGTATAGAAAAGCACGGAGACTATTATCCATGTCAAAGCTAAATACATCCAGACGCGACTGCTAAACGGCATGAAGAACGAGTACCACTTTGGTTTGGCTTTCTGTGGCTTTTTGTAGAGAATGCTCATGCCTAAATTCATGAATGTCGTTGAAAATTGTATGCATCTGGCGCGATTTTCCGTGATCGTTAAGTCCGTGATCGCCATGTCCATTTCCTTTTGATAAACAACATTTCCATCGATATCATCAATAATGCAATGTAAAACGATCAGAAACACGTTACCATTAGAACTTACGTTTCTTATAAGTTGACCCATCATTCCGCTGCAAGTACACTGCTGGGTCTTTTCATTTTTCGTACAATTACCGTTATCCGAGTCCGTTTGCACGAAAAACGTGTAGTTGAAGCTCAACTCCTTGCTGAGGGTCTTGATAAGGTCGATAACGAAGCCCTCGTAACGAGCGTTCCCCGTCAAGCTTTTCGAATGATTGACTTTGTGTGCATGTGGCGGATTCTGGAAATTCACCATAAATTAGTAGGTGTTCGCATGATAGAGAGCAGTATCGTCGTGGAATAAAAAAAGCTCACTATGGTGATGAGAACTTTGAAGTGCTCCATGGCGACTTCATTGGCGAGATTCAACTCGTCGAAGCCTCGATCGGAATTCCAGGTGCCAACCTTCGCCAAGCCCGTTTCATGAAGATTCAACAAGTCGAGTTTGAAATACCTTCGGACTCCATCTGCATCGAACATTAGCGGTCCTGTCAAACCGTTCAACTTGTTCTGCCGCAATGAAAAAATATTCAAACACCATTAATCGAACGTATGGAACGATTGATCGCACGTCCGAATAACCCAACCCAACCCCAATCCAATAACCCAACCCAATTTTTCAATCTTTCATGATTTTTCACATTCTTCGTAAAGTTTTCGTAATTTCATGATTTTTTAACTTTCGTACAATTTTTCGAAATTTCGTGACTGTTCAACTTTTGGTCAATTTTTCGAAATTTCGTGATTTATCAACTTTTGGTCAATTTTTCGAAATTTCGTAACTTTTCAACTTTTGCTCAATTTTTCGAAATTTCAAGATTTTTCACTTTCTTCAAATTATCTATAACCCAACCGAACCGAATAACCCAACCCAACCCAATAACCCCAATTTTTCATGATTTTTCACTTT